TTATATTACATTTTAAAATCTACAAATTCCTCAAAAAATATGGTCGACTCAAAAGTTAAACAAAGCCGAGCGTAAAATAGCACGTATTAAATTTTTTGGAATCCCCGTGTACACGGGTCATCTATATAATTACCTCTATATCGAGGTGATATTTCTTTTTTTTTGATATTTAAAGTATTTGTTGCTTTAGCTCGGACATTTACGCTGATTTATTTAAAATTAAGATAACAAAATAAAAACATTTATTGATAGCATAAATAGTTTAACGATGTAAATACAATATTAGTACAAACTTTCGAAAACATTAATCGATACTAACTAGGAGAAGACCGTAATATTTATCGATTACAATTCCCGAAAAATGTAAATATGGCTTTGCAGGCTTCGAGCTCGACAAACAGACCATTAGATCGCATTCTAACGATAGAGAATCGCTTCGATTTATATTAACAAAAGTATGGCACTACAGTACATAGTATCTCAATGGAGGGAAATTATTTTGTAAGGTAAGCAACTGGAGTAGCGGAGGCATTTGCACGCGCCAGCATGAGGGCTAACAACAACGTCTAACTTTGTGAAGTAATCCAGCCTTTGCGTAAAGGTATGTGTTGTATTTATATATGAGCAATTCTCCAAATGAAACGCATTTTTGGAGGTAGAATCGCGACAAATTTTTTTTTCAACCTACGCGGATACGGACCCCCGGGAAATGTTTTTGGGGGTCCTAGGAACATGTAACCACGTAGGAACCATTGAAATTTCAATAGTGCTTATTTTTATAGCTACTTTTGTGATTTAGAGGACGAAAAATCATGTTTTCTTATAAATACGGCTAATTACTCAATTTCTAAGTCGCTGAAAAAGTATCAAAACTCACCTAAAAAAAATAACTGGCTACTGTGTTCGATAGGAAATTTTCTCAGCTTTTCAATGGGGGTATCAGATTTTCCAATAAGTCGCACATTCACCGAGAAAATCGCCATCAAACATGCCAAGCTAAATATATCGAAAAACTCGGTACGGAAAAAGTGATCTTTGAGGTTTATTTTCAATTTTTCTTCGTGAAAATGAAATTTATCGAAAAATCTGACTACACCATGAGAAAGCTGAGGAAATTTCCTATCGAAAGCATATCTTCATTTATTTTTTCAGTGAAATTACAATGTTATACATGGGAATTTCTTTCACGTTGTTCGCTGTTTTCTGTTTCCGAGCTGATTCAGCGCGGTCGCGAGGTTTTCGGCTCGCTACAATCAAAACTGGCACGTAATTCCACCGAAAAAAATAAATAAAGATATGTTTTCGATAGGAAATTTCCTCAGCTTTCTCATGGTGCAGTCAGATTTTTCGATAAATTTCATTTTCACGAGGAAAAATCGAAAATAAACCTCAAAAATCACTTTTTCCGTACCGAGTTTTTCGAGATATTTAGCTCTCCGTGTTTCATGACAATTTTCTAGGTGAATGTGCAACTTATCGGAAAATCTGATACCACCATTGGAAAGCTGAGAAAATTTCCTATCGAACACAGTAGCCAGTTATTTTTTTAGGTGAGTTTTGATACTTTTTCAGCTACTTAGAAATTGAGTAATTAGCAATTATTACGAGAAAACATGATTTTTCGTCCTCTAAATCACAAAAGTAACTATAAAAATAAGCACTATTGAAATTTCAATGGTTCCTACGTGGTTACATGTTCCTAGGACCCCCAAAAACATTTCCCGGGGGTCCGTATCCGCGTAGATTGAAAAAAAAATTTGCCGCGATTCTACCTCCAAAAATGCGTTTCATTTGGAGAATTGCTCATATACGCGCGCGTTTCAAAATTTAATCATTATTTCGGCAATGAAACGGCTTAACGCGCGCGCGCGCGCGCGGTTTCTCTATTGTGAAGGTAATGAGCGAAAAAATGCACCGTTGCAGAATTGCGTCGGCAGAAGCCCCCGCGAAGATTACTTCGGGCTCTTTGTACCTGGACACGCTCGGTTTCAAGTTCAAACGGATTCCGGCAGTACTAGGCCGAGCCAACCGTGGTGCATACCTTCGAGATGATGACATTAACCGTTTCTTTCTCTCTTTACGTTAACGATTTTAATTAATCGCAAAGTGAGTCGGTAAGCCGAGGCAGTGCGGTCGATGATGTGTATACCGATATGGACAGGAGGAGAAAAAAAAATCGAACTTAACTGCAGTCGTATAGAGCAAAAGTCGGTGCAAGACAGATAAGAGGCGGCTATTAGGGCAACGCGCGATCTCGTCGACCTTCGATGCATTACATTAATTTACCAAGTAAGAACGTCGCCGTAGTCAATGGAGTTTGCTACATCTACCTATAAATAGTACTATAGACAAAGAATAGATAAAATGCTTGCGGTCGACTGGCGTTGACTGGCGCACTACTCCTCGGCCTGCTCCGCGCACGAGTGCGTATATACTTATAGTGTATGTAGACGGCGAGCGATCAACTTTCACGTATCATAATACACAGCCGAAGAATGTGGTTTTCCTTTCAAATTACAAAATACTGCGGACCGCCAGACGTGCTCGGCCGGGGTAGCACGCGCTAATCTCTTGGCCCCTGCGCGTGACTCGGTTTCGCTCTTCGCCGCCTGCTGCACACAATGTACTCTATAGCGATCCTCTGGCAAAAGTTGAATCGCATAGCGCAGATTCTTCTTTCGCGGCTTCTGCCGACGATTAGCACAGACGAGGCGCGACTGCGTTTCTATGATAGAGCTCGGAGGGACGATTTTCAACGCGATCAGGGAGTGCAAAAGTTGCCGAGCGCGATTTTGCAATAAATATCACAACGACCGTCGACGAGGATACGCTCGAAACGGAGTTAATTGCGCGCCAGGACACTCCAGGATGAGTGTATCATCGGCGACGCTTTTTGCCTCGCAAGCTGCTACACAAAAAGTCTGATTATATTGCGTAGGTGACTTTTGCCGGTATTTATTGTTATTACTTAACGCGTGTAAATACATGTGCGCCTGGATCTGCGCATCGTGTCATCATTCTAATGTTCTAGTACATTTATAGCGCCGCATAGTTTATAGCTCGAAAGAGAGAAAGATAAACAATATGAATATAATGCGCCAGGAGGAGATTACAATAAAGCTATAGTCTATAGGCCGCATGGCACAGATTGTGTCTCTTCGCGTGTGCGTTTACTCTTGTTCAGCTGGTGTTGTTGTTGTTTGATTACACTTAATTTACGCATTTTCGACTCTTGTAAATTATCATAGATGTACAAATACGCAGGCACACAGGTCCACACGGTTTCGACCAGTCAATGTGCAGAGGATTTTCGAAGAAACAGAAAGACAAGGTCACTCCATCCACATTCTGCGCCGATCTCAATACCCAAGCGCGGGAGAGAAAGAATTGGCCTCTGCTTCGTATTGCTCTGTTGTGCTGTATGACCTACAATATGCGCGCGTAAACGCTCCGAAGTCTGCGTGTGTATACACCTTTGAATCTTTCTTTCGCTCGAGCCGAGAGCTTTAATACGACTTTTACGCGCTGATATCGCGATACCTTGGCTCGTACATCGTGTATATAACTCTTGTATACGAGCGAGGTAAGTATTTTCTTTGTCTGCTCTCGCCTTGTACCAACTTTCGCGATGGTGGCAACAAGTGTTTCATTGCAACCTATACATTTGATGAATAAATAAATTTATAATATTATATTATAACAGCTCTATAGTGTATGCGTGCGCGTGGGTGCAGTTCTTAATGTTCGATTATAACTTACAAGCGCGATTAGACGCTCGAATTAGTTTTATTACTTTACAGCTTTTCTATATTTGATTCTTTGCACGCCTCCCCGAGTCGAGTGCACCGTAAACGGACGATGAATAGTATCATGGCATATTGATTTTTTTTACAATGCAAAGATTTAGTCTGTCTCCGCGATCGGTGCACGTATAAAACTTCTTTGTGGCGGTGTCGAGCGAGATCTTTCGCTGAGCTATTGGGCAACCTTCAAAAGCGTCGGGAGGAAAAACAAGACGAAAAATAACAATCCTTTTGTTGAGAGGAAAAAAATTAGCGCAGCGTCTGGGAATTCTTATAGCTTGAGTAGCAAAAGGAGTCGTTCAAGCTGTATTCCTTTTGGAAATTGTAATAGAATCGCTGGGACACTTTTAATATGAAAGGCGCACAATATTAATTGTCTAATTTTAAATGTACTATGCACCGTAGATGAAATATCTATTTTGTAAAAGTTGTAACGGCATAATAAACATGCGGTAAAAAAGCGCATGTTTAAATAGCGTCTGTCAAAACTATTTGATAGTACAATATGCACATGCGGATTCGAGTACAAGCATATTGCATACTTTTATTTACTTGATCGTTTACTTTTGCACCAGCTCTACATCAATGATTTAAATGATTTAACGATCTTAAATAATAAGTTCAATTCCTTTACTCTAAAAATTGAAATAATGAGACGATCTGAAAAAAGGACTTTTATAGTGATCTATTCTTGTGAAAATATGCAAATAAAAAATGTCTCTTAAAATATTGGTCATATTTTTTTATAACGAAAGCGGCCAAGGACGTGGTCATTAATACCCGTGGCTCACTCGTAATAATCATAAGAATGGATATACCTCAAGCCTTTAGGGTATTTGTTGTCGATAAAATAAAACAAAACCCTGCGGCTATATTCTTTTGATCGAGCATCGATACCATAACACATTGAACAATATGTTTTTTCATAGTTTTTTCTCGCACGTATTTTCATAATCTGTTAATTACCGAGCAATGATTTTGCACTTCATACTTACTTTCAGTGTGGCAAATTCAATGAATTTTTTTCCGTCTGTATTATTCATAATTTGATTATTTTAAACGTATGCAAGAACATGCTTATGATAAAAATAATCTTTTTTTTAAATTTACATAAAAGTATTATTCGGGAAGCAGTAAAAACTTTGCGCATAAATAATGAAAAAGTTTATTGAAGTCTCGTACAATGGAAATGCATCTGCGAAAGCATGTTTCCGACCAATGCCTTCATTTATTAATAATTCGACGATGAATAGTTTTTAACGACCTGTAACGACAACACTTTGTCGCTGCGTCACAAACACCGACGACAGCAGCAGCAACTCTGGTTCAATTCGTCTTCGAAAAAAGTCCATTGGAAAATCGTTGATTTTATCTCTGTTTTCCACGCGTACAATGTAAAAAACCTTTCGAGTAAGAGCACTGCACCGCACGACGCGACCGACGCCGATGCAACGCAGTTGCCAAGATCACCGCCCTTCACAAACTACTGCTTACAAGTTGATATTGGAAGTATAATCAGAGCTCGAGCAGCAGCAGCTCGCATGCGATCAGCCATGTATTATATATATTAAATCGAGACTCGAGTGATAAAGTTGTCTTGAATATAGACGGTATATGTGTGCACACGTAGACCGGTTCTTGCTGTTCACATGATGTAAAAGTGTTTATGCCCATTACAAGAAGGTACTCGCGAGCTTACTGCCATGTATATTATAGTACACGCACACACACAGACACTGGTACGACAATTAAAACGTGTGCGAAACTCCAAAGCCATCTACACAAATGTATCTGGATAGGGACAGCATATAAAGCTTATCTAGTACTTTATCGTATCTTCCACCGCGAAGAAACACCGGTACTTGTCGGGTAGATAGTGTTTTTCGTGGATGTATGGAAACGGAGTATCCCAGCCGGTTACTCGAGCGACCGGAGCTTCCAAATTCAAAAAGCACTCTTCCTGCAATGTAGAAAAAAAAATCAGCATTATTGAGGACTAGTGTCACAAGGTTTTGCAATAAATTAATTATTATGCGCGTAAAATATAGAACAAACAAGTACAACTGTTATACATGCATTAATTGCTTTTTTGTTGTTTCATTTTTTTTTTCAACCTCTTTTGCAATGCCCCTTGATGAATAATTAAGCATTGAATAATCAAGCAAGTTACCGAAAGCAGCTCAACGTGTGATAAGTACTCGTAAAATAAAAAAATGAAAAAAAATAAAAAAATTGAAACAAGCGAGTTCGAGCAAACATATTTGAAAGATCCTATCATTGCTTAAAATTTTTTTTTAACGTATTCGGTATGCGCGATGTTTTTTTCTGCAAGTGACATAATTTTGACTTTGTTAATTATTGCACGGTTTAAACTTTGAGTACAAAAGAAAGATCGATCCATATATTATGTAAAGCTTTACGTAATAACATAAACAGTCACTGCAAGCTTACTTTTTTTTCTCGTCACAACCTATCTCTATAACGACCTAATTGCAGAGCGCCGCTGATCGCTTCGCGTAACCAGCTAATATAATAATTACAATAGACGCCGACTCGAACGTATGAATACCCGCGTATATATATGCGCTACGCACTGCATTCGTAATCGATTAATACATTCATTAATATTTAGTAATCGCTCAATAATTCCAGCGCCAAGTATGAAACGCATAATATGCACGCGAGAGAAAAACGATCGTGACAATTTAATGCAGAAACCTGAATAGTCGCTGCGATCTCGGCGCCAAATCCCTGAGTCAGTGGGGCCTCGTGAGATACGACGGCTCGTCCTGTTTTTACGACCGACTGCAAAGGACAAAAGTTACATGTAGAAAAATGCTATAATTGATCTTGAGAAGGCATCGAGTTGTACCTTGCATATGGTTTCGATGTCCCAAGGAAGTATCGAGCGAAGGTCTATAACCTCGCACGAGACGCCGAGTTTTTCCTTTGCCATGTCGGCGACTTCCAGCAAAACGTGTACTTGAGTACCCCAAGCTATCAGTGTGATGTCGGTACCTGTATCACGGGTGTGTAGAAAATGCTCCATCAGTGCATCGCAATCGATTCGATCGGGTAAAAAGTTTCGAAATCATACCTTCTCGTACTATTTCAGCTTTTTCGAGAGGCAGCTTGTAATATTCCACAGGAACTTGTTCCGATGCCGTGCGGTACAATATTTTTGGCTCGAAAAATATCGTAGGATCCTCAACCTCTATGGAGCTCAACAGCAGTCCTTTCGCTTGTATCGGTCCCCTTGGTATGACTACCTTTTGATCATACATTCACAGTAAACAATCGTGCGTAATTTATGAGCAGGAAACAATTTAATCGACCAACCCTAAGTCCGGGTGCATGGGCAAAAAATGCCTCGGGACTCTGAGAGTGATACAATCCACCGTGTCCAACTGCACCGCATGGAGCTCGTACGGTCAACTTTCCGCAATTGAATTGGTCGCCACTTCTGTATCGGTATTTAGCCGCCTCGTTTACCAACTGTCGATTCCAATGAAAACCCGAGATAATTGATAACGTTTGCCGATCACCTCATTTAGTTTTTTTTTTTATGTTTAAAAATCAAGCGAGAACAAGCGTGATAAATTGAAAATCACGGTACCTGATCGAAAGCTGGAAATATGTAGTCGGCAAATTGAATTTCTGCAATGGCTGTAACGTCGTTTGCGGCAGCTCCGATGCCGAAACCAGCGATTCCTTGTTCACACAAAGGTGTATTAAAAATTCTGGAACCGAACCGATCTTTCAGGCCCATCGAGCATCGAAATACACCGCCGAACTCGACGTCTTCGCCGAACATGACTGAAATCATTTAGATCTGACGTAACATAAAAATATATATTCGTAATAATGTACGTTTAATTCTTAAAACATAACGATTACAGCATTTGTCGAGCGACTTGAAAAATTATATCACAAATTTCTTACTTGAAGTTTCATCTTTCTCCATGTATAAATGTAACGCATTGTTTATCGCTTGAAACATGTTCATCTCTTTCGTTTCGCCTAAAACAGATGAACGATAAATTAGAATTCAATTCAATTTTTTTTGACGACTGTAGAATTCTACGCCATGAAGCAGTACATTCGACATTTTTTCATAAGAAATCGAACGTTCTTGTGGGTGTTTAGAATGTTCAAAATACTCACCTTTAATTTTAGAAGTTGTATCTGGATAGTACTTAAAATGAACATGTCTGCAAATGTTTTGACTTTCTGCCGGTAAAACGAGCCTGAAGAATTTGGAAACTTTGTGTAAACTTATTCGGTTCGTCTTGCTTAAAATCATGGTTACTTGCTTACTGCCGCTCTGGAATCGACAGCGGCGTGGCACATATTAAATTCGCTTCATGTGGCGTGCATAATTATCATACAACGCGTGTTATTTTTTTACTCATTTATAAGACTTTGTTTTTGTGTTAGTTAGGAAGCGCTACTACTCCGATAGAATCCCCTCCTTCGGCGCTTTATTATTGCATGTGTACATTGAGCGTATGCGCGACCTCCCCGAGTGAATCTCGCAGTTCTGTATTAACAACACACTGATATATAGATATTGTATTTATAAGTAGTATATGTATTTTGAAGTAATGAAGATGGTAAAAGTTTGCCTGTATTCGAAAAATTTTATTTAATGAAACAGCACTTGATAGGCGCATGTGCCTTTCACGCGGTAACACGATAGTACGCATTGTTTATTCTCAAAACATTGCGCCAAGCGATAAAAAAACGCATATAAACATCTTCAGTTTGATAACTTTTGTGAATATTCGTTAACTATTATTAGATCTAATCAATTAACTAACGTTTTTGAAAATAAAAATTTCTCAAGAAAACAATTGAAAGTAATTTTAGCGTATATTTTTATTATACATTTATGAAATAAAGTCCATAGCTTTTTGAACTTTTTTAATTAAGTCCAAATCCTGCTGGGTAAAATAAAGGTTATTACAATCAAAATAAAAAATAAAGAATAAGTAATATTGGTAAACAACAGTAATAAAACTTTTTATTTATGAAATTTTATAGAGAAAAGTCATTCATTAGCAATTGACAATTACTAGTATTCGTAACAAAACAATAAATATGTGTTCAATGATTGGTTGGAACGCTAATGTTAATGGTCTTGGTTTCCAAAAATTCGTCCAATGAATCCATTCCCCTAAAATTAATGAATTATCAGGTGATTTATCAAAAATTTTCATCAATAGTTTTGATTTTAATTCATATGCTTCTACGTACATTTCTCTACCTAAACCAGACATTTTGTAGCCGCCGAAGGGTGCTTGAGGATGTACGGCGCCCCATTGATTGACCCTTTGTAATCGATAAATTCATTTTAATTATTTTAGTTAGATGCAGATTTTAGATTTTATAATTATAATCTACCCACCATACAGTGCCAGCTTGGACAGCTTTGGAAAATTCCAAGGAAGTATTAAGATTTTCAGTAAAGACTCCAGCGGCTAATCCGTAAGTTGTATCATTGGCACGTTTGATTACTTCGTCTAAAGTATCAAATTTAAAAATACTTTGTACCGGACCGAAAATCTGCAAATCAACGGTTATGTTTATACTGATGGAAGTTGACGCATGAATTAATTGAATGAATTACCTCTTCTTTAGCAATGGTCATGTCGTCGGTGACATTGCTAAAAACGGTCGGTTCTACAAAGTAACCAACTTTTCCAATGCGATTGCCTCCCAGTTCGCATTTTGCACCTTCTTTTTTGCCAGCTTCGATGAGCGATAATACTTTGTTGAAACCTTTCGTATCGATCTGCGAAAATTCAATAACGGGTCATTTTAACGTGAGCAAATAATTTCAAACGTAAGATTTTCATTGCGGTAACACGAACCTGTGGCCCTTGAAACACACCAGCCTCGAAAGCATCTCCAACTTTTATTTTAGAAGCGATCTCGACGTACTTCTTTACAAATACATCGTGAATTCCAGCCTGAACAAAAACTCGAGTTGGAGCTAAACAGGTTTGACCGGCGTTCATGAACAAAGCCATAGTAGCAAACTGCAACGCCAATTCCACTAGGAGAAAAATAATTAACGCGTATGTAGTATTATAGAATTAGTCACGCGGCTGAGCGTAAACGCAAGCCTAGTTTTCAGTATTAACTTTATATTTACAATTAGCGTCGTCAAATACCACCAACGGACTCTTGCCTCCCAATTCAAGGCCAACTTTTTTCAAATTTGAATTGGCGGATGCTGCGAGTACCATTTTACCAACCTAACAAATTTAAAGAGTAAACGTGAATTTTTATCTTTTTGTTTTTTATTACTTATGTCTACTGAAAATTCATAATGTACGTACAATAGTTGAACCGGTGAAACTAACACCGTCGATGTCGAGATGACTGGAAATAGCAGCACCGGTGGTAGGTCCGTAGCCTGGAAGTATGTTGACGACTCCAGCTGGGAATCCTGCCTCTTTGGTCAAATGCGCGACGTATAAAGCGGTCAGTGGTGTTTGTTCGGCTGGCTTTATGACTAGTGTGCAGCCCGCTGCCAGACCCATGGCTAGTTTGAAACTCAAAAGTACCACCGGATAGTTCCATGGTATGATGATACCGACAACGCCCAGTGGCTCCTTGCGCGTAAGAACGAACTCTTTCCCGTCTGAGTAAGAATGAAAATATGCAATCGACGTACGATGTTATTCATTTGAAAATCAATAAATTACCCGTTGGAATAGTTTTGCCGTGAATCTTGTCAGCCGCACCGGCGTAATAACGCACGAACTTGACAGCGTCGAGTGTCTGAACGTAAGAATTGTCAAATGGTTTGCCATTGTCTAAAGATTCCAAGCTAGCGATTTCGTTTACGTTTTCTTCGATCAGCTCGGCTAGCTGAAATATGTTTATTATAATTAGTATTTTTATGATAGTTTAATTATCCAATTATTACGTGCTGGAGTCAGAAATGAAAATTATACTCGAGTTTATTTTACCTTATACAAAAGCCTTCCACGTTCCGATGCATCAAGGCTGCGCCAAGCGGAACCACGTTCGAACGCTTTCCTTGCTGCTTTTACGGCGTTATCCACATCAGCCTGTTGATCAGTGACAACGATTGCAATAATACACAACGAAAGTTTATTTTATTTTATCGATTATGTGTGCACTAGCTCTTACTTTATCTGACTCGGCGACTTCGGCGATAAGTTTTTCCGTCGAAGGATTGATAGTTGGAAATTTTTTTCCACTTACAGAATCAACCCATTCGTTGTTTATGAAGATCTAAAGAATCAATTTATTTTAAAATTAGCTGTTATTTTTATGTTTATTATTAGCTTGACATAATTAGGGAATTGAATTTTCATGAAACAATGATGATAGGTTAATAATAAGGAGTCAATTGTCAAGTTTAATATAAAGCAGCCGGTCAATTTATTTGTTTTTGTTTTCAATACCTTAAATGTCAAAACAATTTTTCATGAAAATTACGTGGAATTTCGCAATAAAAACTGTATATGTAATAAATAGTTAAGGAATTTTAAAAATAAATGAGTTAATTAGACAAAAATGAATCGTTGATGAAATATAAATTCATTAATTCGTAATAAACAACCAACCATTTAAAATTTATTAAAAGTATTTAAATTACCTTCGTGTATTTTATCGGTGGGTTAGCAAGCGGTTTCGGTGGATTAGGGGCCATTTTTTCAATGATAATCTACTATAATCAGATAAACGCTTTGAAAAGGAGCGAATTGAAGCGTGAAGCTGGTGCGTGCACAACTGACGTGTAACCGAGAGAACAGATCTTTATATATGTACAAAGCTATATGTACACCCCACCACTTCGTTCTCGTACAGGCATTTTGAATGAAATACATGTGTAGCCTCTGTATTTACGAAGTGTATATATAACACAAATGACTCGGAATAGTATGGGACGGTTAATCTCCGAATCTTTTTTGAATAATCGCTCACATATTACGCTCTATTGACTTACAAATCGATACTCTTCTACGCAGCTTTTGAATAATTTTGTTCTTCAATCATTAGAGCAAGACTTATGTTATTTTCAGACGATAGTAAAACTATTAGCATTTTGGTCTTTATTCAATTTTTGGACTTACGTGAGAAGAATCATTATTATCTTTAATTGAGTCAAAGCACGCAATTGAAATAAAATAGCAGTGTCACGCTTGTGCAATATTTTCTCGTTTCTATTTTAAAGTTAGCAAGTATCATAAGATCTGAAGTTTCTAGATATATCTTTTGATATCGATAATTTTATGAGAGAATAACATTCAACAAGTCTCTCGTGCCGGCTCGGAGAATAATAAAGGAAAATTCACCAGATAAAACAGAAATCTGTTCTATCCTTTACTGTTAAATAAAAAAGGCACGAGTATAACATGCTTCTTTTATTATTATAAAAGTTCCAGTGCATAGAGAACACCTTGTATTTTCGCAGCGAGAATCAGCACGCATTCAATTAAAGCATTTCTACAATGTCAATTTTGGTGCATAGCATTGTAATGCATAGAAGCATTCGCAAGAGTATCAAGAAAATAAGACATTGTAAAATAATTCAACATCCAGCAGAAACACTTCGTTACCGGCAACTTGTTTTGCTATCTCGTTCCAAAGTCCATCTCCTACTCCGCAGACCAGAATTTCTTCACAAAGAGACAACATAAAAACAGGCAGCCGGATCACGATATCAGTCTCTTCTTTACGGGAGAGTTACTTCTTTGCACGCAGCCACATTCCTTATTTTCGCCCTAAAAATGGCTTGTTCTAAGCCGGTCATCAAGTATACACAGGTCAGGATGTTGCAGTAATATTTTATTAACTATCTCGACGAATGATTTTATACTTTTTTAAATTACACAGTAGTTCTTTGCTCCTTATTTAATTGATTATTATGGTTTATCGTCTATATGGTCGCACAATTATCACTCAAGCGCTTGACACACCTACTTTCTTGCTAGATGTATAACTAGTATTTTTTTTGTAATTTTATTCATTTTTATCATTAACAAATTTAATGCAACTATTATCTTTAAATGAGCGGATATTATTTCGATAAAAAATTTATTTATTACTGAATGTAATTTGAATGTGTGTGACTTACTTAAGCATGCTTTTGTACTTACAAATTATTATTTCCGGTTTATTTTTTCCGTATCTTAATATATCATATAAAATTTTCCATCAAAAATAAATTTGGCAGGAAAGTCGTACGAACCTTAACGTAATTGAATTCTGTTACCGATATGCAATTATCGCCTGTCTTTCGATCACGCGACGCGCGAGATCAATCAAAACGAGATACAACGAAAAATATCGTCACTGGTCCTAAACCGATCGATATGATTCTACTTGAATACAGCTCACTATGTAAATGAAAATTCCAGACTTTTTCAACTCTTTTCCGTCAACACCTCGTTAACCGGGGTGCATTTATATCTCGCGGCAAATTCAGTCCAGCGATATACAGATTTTTGGCGAGTGCAGCAGATTACCAGTCGAAAGTTAATCCTTCGCAGAAGGTATTTCATGTGTTAGCAGTTATCATAAAGCTTTTAAAAAAAATCTCCGCTATCGCTATACTGCAACAATACTCATGTGCATTAACATAAACATTTAAGTCAACATGATCTTGGGTTCGTTGGAATCATTATTTACAAGAATATAACATTTCGAGTTTTTTTTTCTGCAGCTTTTCATTGATAATGAATTCGTCGACTCGGTAAGCGGTAAGAAGTTCCCCACGATCAATCCAGCCACTGGCGGAGTGATTGCAGAAGTCTCTGAAGGAGATAAGGTAATATGCAATAATCGAACAATTTTTTATTAAAATGTTTTACAATAGCAAGAAAAATAAATACATTTTTGAATTTATAGGCTGATGTGGACAAAGCCGTTGCGGCCGCAAAGCGAGCTTTTCATCGTGACTCGCCATGGCGTACTATGAATCCATCGGCGCGTGGAAGGCTCATGAACAAGGTAATATTATTTTTATTTCTTTATTCATCATCGAGAAAAATAATTTTATTGAAAAAAATTGACCTACATTTAGTTGGCCGACCTTATGGAGCGCGAAATCGATCACTTGGCCAGTATCGAGACACTCGACAATGGAAAAACTTTCGAAAGCTCGAAAGGTGATATAGGCGCAAGCTGCGGTGTATTGCGTTATTATGCAGGATGGTGCGATAAAATACACGGACAGACAATTCCAGCTGGTAATGTAATGCTTTTCTCACACATCTCGCATTTTATTATTTACAGTTCGAGACATTTGTTTATTGATTGTATGTTTAACATTTTGTAACTGTATATTATCTGCTAGCTACTTTACTTGGGTCATTTTATCTTCTTAGAGCAACACTGATAACATCAAAACTCATATGGTTATCAGTTAAATAATTATTTTTTGCTATCTCCTAGCTGGTTTACAAAAATGCTCAAATATGCTTCCCCGTAAAATCTTATAAATATTTTCAATATTATTATAATATAATGCAATAACGAATGCATGTTTTCTCTCATACGGCATTATCACAATGAAATTTCTTCGAATAATTCTGTGTTTGAATAAACTCTTATCATACATTGGCTGTTCATTTAAGATAAGACAAAACCCCAAATGCAAATTCTTTTATTATGCATAAAAAGTTACAAATATACGTCGTTGAACTATTTTGAGTTCAAATGACTATAAAAAAGAGATTAGCATTGTTTGAAAATTGTTAATTGTGTCTTTTTGCTTAGATAATGGTTTCTTTTCGATGACTCGAAAGGAGCCAGTCGGTGTAGTAGGTCAAATTATACCATGGAACTACCCGATTATGATGACGGCTTGGAAATGGGGACCCGCTCTAGCCGCTGGATGTACGATTGTCCTTAAACCCGCCGAACAGACTCCTTTATCAGTTCTAGCTCTAGCAGCACTTGTTAAAGAAGCGGGTTTTCCACCTGGGGTAATTAACATCGTTCCAGGATATGGGCCTACAGCTGGTGCAGCTATTGCTGAGCACATGGATGTGAACAAAGTTGCATTCACTGGCTCTACGGAGGTACACATTTTGGTTTTGAGAATTTTTTGACGTTAAGAAAGATTTTTAATTGAATTTTCAATAGATTGGACATTTAATTATGCAAGCTGCTGGAAAATCTAATCTTAAGCGAGTCAGTCTTGAACTTGGAGGAAAAAGCCCTATAGTAGTTTACGATGATGCAAACAGTATGTTAATTATCAAAAATACTTTTATTTATCACAGTCAATTCAATATTTTATTTATTTATAGTTAAAGAGGCTGCAGATATCGCTTACCATGCCTTATTCGATAATCATGGACAAAGTTGCTGTGCAGGTTCACGTACCTTTGTTCATGCTAAAGTATATGATAAATTTGTTCAAGAAGCCAAACAATTAGTTGCAAATAGAAAAGTGGGAGATCCATTCGATAAGAATACTGATCAAGGACCACAAATTGATCAAGATATGTTTGACAAAGTAATGGGTTTGATTGATTCAGGTAAAAACGATGGAGCAAAACTTGTTATAGGTGGTAGCCGAGCAGGAAATGTTGGATTCTTCATACAGGTAAATTATTTTTAATTATATTTAATTATATTTCATATTCAATTAAATATAATATAAATTATATTTAATATTTCAAAATTTAAATTTTATGCAGAAGAGTGTTTTAATTAGAAAAATTATTTTCAGCCTACTATATTTGCTAATGTTGAAGATAATATGAGGATTGCTAAAGAAGAAATATTTGGACCAGTTCAGTCAATTATAAAATTCAACAACGAAGAAGAGTTAATCGAGAGAGCTAATAAGACATCATATGGTTTGGCGGCTGCCATTATTACTCAAGATATTGATAGAGCCTTAAACTTTGCCAAGTCAGTTGAAGCTGGAAGCGTCTGGTAAATGAGTAGATTTAATTATTTATAATGAAACGTTGAAGGATAAAACAATTAATTTTCTTATATTCCTAGGATAAATGGATATGATCTCATTACTGCTCATACTCCGTTTGGTGGCTACAAGATGTCTGGAATTGGTCGTGAATTGTAAATTAAAATTTTCCATCTAAAATCTATTCTAGAGGTAACTGGATGCTCTAAAATATTTCTTTCTTTTTTATAGGGGCGAGGAAGGTCTTCATGAGTACCTTGAAACAAAAACTATTTCCATTCGTACACCATCTGTTTAAGAATTATTAATTTAAAATTATAAAACTTTTTACATGTGAAGTTTAAAAAACAGTTGAGAAATAAATAAAATGAATTAATTTGAAAAACTCAAATAATTTAATTAAAAATATAACATTGAATAGCTATATTAAACAGTTTTCACTTTATTGGTTTTAACATAAGTTTAACAATCTTTCAATACCCTTTAAAATGACTATCTTTCAATTACTCTTTTTTCTCTAATGGTGGAATACCCAGTTCTTCATCTGTGTACTTTCTAGGGTCTGGTAAAAACTCTCCATCATACAAACCCTGGAAACATTTTTTTCATAAATTAATAAATTTTCATAATGTTATATGACGTTTATAATAAAAAAACCATATAATGAAAGAGACAAATAAAAAGAACTTGTTTTTCAAATTATGCAAGTATAAGAGTATCTTTATCAGTCTTTTAAACAAGTAAAAATGTGTCAATTAATCATTGATTAAAGAGCTAAAATTTGCAGTACTATTTGAATCAATTGAGTGGTTATCTTAAATATACTTACAATCAAATGAGGCCATCCGTGCCATATATTCCACCAAAACCAAAACCAACAAACAGTCGCACAGAAATTAGCTCCTCTGACAGCCCATGCAGGAGGTGTAGGAGCTGTCCGATAGCACCATCTAAATATATCATGTAACATAATATTTTATTTGTTAGTTGTTCGTAAATTTGAAATTATTCTTAATAATGTAACAATATTAATTCTTTTTTTTATAAAAGTATATGACTGTTTATTGACATTTGTAACTTATGTAATGAGCAAAATAAGACTTACCCTCCATGAGGGTGTGCACTATGGCTACCAAGACGTATCTGCTGGAAGTTAGTTTTTACAGTTTTCTGGCCCGAACGTCTGGCTACTTCTTTCAAAAGGCCAAAGGCCTTCGAGCCAATCATCTTAGAAGTAACAGTAACTTAAGAAAAATATTTCCAGTAACCACAGAAAATACAATGTTACTGTCTCTTGACTGCAGAAAAGCAGCTAATCTGCTATGATTGCTGGCAGACGACGCGACAGTAGCGCTCTCGTGCTAAATGTTTTGTACTCGGCAATACAATTCGTATTAAGTCGATAAAATAGGTACCTATTTTTGAGAATAAAATGATTTTTACGTCGTATAATTTATAAAATATATTCAACGTTTACATAAGTAATTATTTTATGAAATTCTTAAGTTTCTTTGATACATTTTAAGTGTGTAATATATGAGTGATTTTCTCGATTCATCGCTATATTACGCGTGTTAGTTACACGGGTGCTTCGCGGGTGTGACAAAAAATCAGAGAAACAAAAACCGCTGCCAAGTCATTGGCAAAGAGCTTTCCCATGAAAAAATCATCGTTTTTATTTCATTTATAAATTTTTATAAAGCAATCTTTCAAATTTAAGGGCCAAACCTTATTTTTTACTGAGATTCAGCCATTTCCATCGTGAACCTTTTCTGTATACTTTGCGTGTTAAGTTTTAAAAAAATAAACATTTTGGAATTTAAAACAATTCTTTGAAAAGGGAGGAAAAATACTAATGAAAATTACAACATTTTCTTCGATTTTAAGCTCTCTTTGAGCCCTTAAACGATTGGGAAAGGAAGCTAAAATTTCTGGAAAATACGAATGAATTTAAACGTTTTCGATACTGAATTAAGTCTTAGCTTATCTTTCAAAATCACGTCTCAAATGAAACAATAAATAAAAAAGAACCAAATATTTTTTTAAATAATTTTTTTCTTCATGATGTAAATTTTAAGAGAATCAGTGAATCCTATGCTTTTTATTTTAAATTGATGCTTGACTGCTCATATCTTTAAAAATCACTTCTAAAAAATGTTAGAAACACAATCAATAAAAAGATCAGGGTAAAAACTGAAAAAAAATTTCCAAAAAAAAACATGAAAAATCTTAATAATTTTCCTCGAGGAACCCTTTAGAAAAAAGCAAATTTCTTTCATTAATTCTGTCAGAAAAGAGCAAAATTCTCGTAGATATTCTGCAAGAATTCCATTTCTGCTGAAAACCGGACGAAATCATTTCTGGCCGAAATAATCAAAATTCAGTGAAAATTTGATTTATAACCATCATTATTATTTTTGCGAGAAATTCTGCAAAATCATGCGGCGTGAATTTTAACACGAAAAATAAACCAGGTTTACAATGAGGATTTTTATCAAGATTTTTTGTGGGTCATTTCTGTGGGTAGAACTTTCAAATCAAGTACGAAACTTTTTCGTAATTAAGGGTAAATAAAAAGTCAGATTTTTGACACATTACGTTCCGATTGCACCTGTACTCGTTCAATTTATTCATGTGTATGTTATACTTACGTATCTATACTTATAAAGAGACCACCTCAGCTGCAGATGACTAATTATTACCAAAATTTCTTTGTAGTTATCTGGTACCTAATTATGAATTCCAGTATACTTAATTTGATCCCATCGACCCGATAAGTCATTTTTATAAACATTTAAATTTAATTATAGGCGGTAAATAAGGAATAAACGATACATTTGTCTCTCGCATCTAATTCACTCATATAGCCTTTTGCCTATCATGATAACTATAAACAGAGTTTATTAAATACATCTTTATTAATCCTTCACATTACTCATATACTAATAAAAAACTGAAGAAAAAATAAAACAGTCTACGATGACAAAAACCAGGTGTTTCTAGTAGATCGTCCATCCTCTTCGGAAAATAACTGATCCCCAAATGAATTTTATTTTTCATTTTTTAAATGTATGACTCAAGATCAGAAAAAATAGTTGATTATATTGAAGAGTATGCGATATAGCAGCACTTCTATGTATTCAATGTAAATTTACATTAAAACTAGAGAAATAGGGCATGGTTACTTAGCATCACATTAAATACTAAGTGTCGCTGCAGTATCGTATACTTCCCAATGTGAAGATAAAAAGATTATGAGATTAAAGGACGCATTTATATTTATAAAAGTCAAACGATGAATAAAACAATAAAAAAAGCTTTCAAGATATAATTTATCGAAATTCGTACAAATTGTGAAAATTATTTGTTTAGATTCGTTAGGATGCACTTATGATATGGATAGATTAAAAATATATCATTCCAATAAAATTTCATAAGTCCATTTCTCATGCTCAACCAATAAGAAGTTAATTAATGTCCACTACACAGATAGTTTTGGAGGATTTTATCTCACTCTTCCAGAAGGTGATCTTAAATGTGATTTTATATATCCAGTTCTATAATCAATCATATCTTTCGATGAACACCCAGAAATTCCATGGCGATGTCTACGGCTCCACCTGGAATAATATTCAATTATTTTTGTTACAAGCAATACTTCTATTGTATCATCAATGGGTCTAGCGCGATACGCAACAAAAAGAATAAATCATAAAAGATTCGAAAGATAAAAAGTATATTAGGCATCACGCGGAAAATATGTGTGAAAGTAGCATATAAAAATCATCTTCATACACAAATTTTACGCAACTCAATCAGAGCCGATTTTGTTTTAGCAAAAAACTAATAAACGCAGGCCTTTGCTATCAATTAACATGAGATATTACTTTGTTCTCGCGGACGAGCAAGTGATGCCAGAAAAACTAGGTAAACGGTTCCTATAGTATTGTGCAAATTTTGGGACTCGTCAACGATTTGGGCCAATTCGTCCATCATCTTATTCGGCGTGCGTGTTGAGCTGGTTGCAGCGTAAGCCACGAGTATTTGACGAGCCAAAGCTGATGAGTCAATTATCATCTATGCTGTTATTGTGAATTTTCAGCCGAATCAACGTATTTTGTATGTGAAAGTGAGAAATCCTAGTTTTCAAGTTGATTTTTTTATTCCCTGCCGTTTAGAAGTTACAAAGGCATGACCGTTAAGCCGCCGCAATTCGCGGTGTGGATCGAGGGAATAGCAGCGCTCGCGTCGATTTTAACATGTACTCTTATGAAAATGACTTTTAATTGTGCCAGCGACTCTCACCAAACCAAATTTCTCCTCATAAGAAATTGTATGGGAAACGCTTCCAAAGTGGGGGCGCCACGGATGACGAACAGGGCGAATAGAGGGGGTCTAGTAGAGTCTCTCCACTGCCGAACGCCGACCAATTACAGCGCTCTAAGCAAACAGACACTCGACAATCCGTAAGAACGCCTGGATGGATGGACGCTCGTTTTTCACGGCGTGACCTCCCATACCCAATGCGCATAAAAAAGTTTCACTTAATAGCATATTACGTTCCTAGGTACGAAAGTGCGGCTTTTAATCCCTGCGTGATGTTCTCACTTCGCTCGGCCGGTAATACGCTGGGATTAAGAGCCGCACATTTGTACCGTGGAACGTATACGACTTTTTCTCCTCCTCGACCGAAAGGTCGTCCACACATAGATTATTTAAATCATGTACATTAATTACACAGGCACACAAAAAAAAAAAATGCTCAGTTCCAGAGACCGGACCCAGTAGACTTTATGTTTTTTGGGTCGCTGAATCCGAATCCGTCGTCGGTTTTTCGCCATCAGATCGATTTAAGGTCATTTGAAGGTCATTTAAAGGTCAAATCATGAAAAATAGGTTTAAAAATCTGAAACTATCCCTATATAGGTTTTTGAGGATGCTGAATTCAAATCTGAAGTCAGATGACCTCTACGACCTTCCCTTCAAGGTCATTTGAAGGTCAAACTTAGAAAATTCGATATAAAAATCCGAAAAATATATTTTTTATGTTTTGGGGGTCGCTGAATTCAAATTCAGGGTCATTTTGACTTAATATTGACATCTACAGGTCATTTAAAGGTCAATTGAAGGTCAAATCATGAAAAAAAGGTTAAAAAATTGGAAAAACTCCTATATGGGTTTTCGAGGATGCTGAATTTAAATCTAAAGTCAGATGACCTCTACGATCTTATCTTCACGGTCATTTGAAGGTCAAACTTAGAGATTTCAATGTAAGAATGCAAAAAATATCACATTTATGTTTTGACGGTCGCTGAAATTGAAAAAAAGGTCATTTTCACTATACTGAGTTATTTTAAGCTTATTTCAAGATTAAGTTAATGAAAAGAGGGCAAAACTTGATGAAACATTGTTAATTTTGCATGCCTTTTTACCTTTTTCTTTTGTAACGCACCTTTTTTTCTTCAAACGATCGGCGTAAAGGTTGCCGTTTGCGTTTAATTCCTTTATGTTGGCTCTCTCTCTCTTCAACATCCAGCAGTAATCAGCCATCATTGCAACATCCCATCTACCTGGATATCGCTGCTCCATATGTTTAATGTCTTGATGGAATCGTTCTCCTTGCTCGTCGCTAAAATCCCCACAGTTTTTCGGGAACTCATCTGAATGGTTATGCAAGAAATGCAGTTTGTAAGACATATTACATTTCATTTCACCGAAATTGTTTATCATTGTTGATATTAAAACTTTGTAATCATCACTTCGGCGATTACCTAGAAAATTTTCCACAAAATTTTTGAAGCTAACCCATGCAGCTTTCTGAATCTCAGTCATCTTAGTTGGAAAACTGTCATCTTTCAGCAATTTTCTTATTACTGGTCCATCGAATATTCCTTCTTTTAATTTGGTATCAGATTTATAGGAGAATTTAGATTCTAAATATTTGTAACATTCAACGCTCACACTCAAAGCTTTTACAAATTGTTTCATAATGCCCAATTTACAATGTAAAGGAGGTAGTAAAACTTTTTTAGGGTCTACTAACAGACTGTTAATAACATTATGATGTCCAGCTTCTAAAGAATGTCTCTCAGACCACTTGTGGTCGGTGTAATGGTTTATACGATCTCTGCTGTCCCACAAGCACTTGAAACATGGGTACTTTGTTAATCCAGATTGCTGTCCCATCAGCATACCTAAAACTCTTAAGTCCCCACATATTAGCCATTTATTTTCATTGTATTTGATGCTCTCTAATAGTATCTTCATACTTACATATGTTTCTTTCATAGTTGTACTGTGAGCAATAGGAACTGATGCAAACTTATTTGTATTATGCAACAATACAGCTTTTAAGCTCCTTTTCGAAGAATCAATAAAAAGTCTCCATTCGTCGGTTTTATAAATATTACATTTAATTTCCTTCATTAGATCTTCAACATTATTACAAAAAACTAATTTCTCATCACCAAACTTTTTTTGTTCAAAATATTGATTAAAACTTTCATTTCTGGTTCTATAATAAGATGCGTTTGTACCACTTTCCAGCATATTTCTGCGTTTTAAAGTGGAAGCTAAATATTCTGCTCCTTCTTTAGGTAACCCTAAGTCTCTTACTAAATCATTCAATTCAGCTTGCGTAAACTTTTTTACTATTGCAGATTTTTCTGTAAATGGTAAAAACTCATTCCTTAAATCTTCTTCCTCTTCGTCTTCAGACCATTCTTTACGCCGATCGTTTGAAGAAAAAAAGGTGCGTTACAAAAGAAAAAGGTAAAAAGGCATGCAAAATTAACAATGTTTCATCAAGTTTTGCCCTCTTTTCATTAACTTAATCTTGAAATAAGCTTAAAATAACTCAGTATAGTGAAAATGACCTTTTTTTCAATTTCAGCGACCGTCAAAACATAAATGTGATATTTTTTGCATTCTTACATTGAAATCTCTAAGTTTGACCTTCAAATGACCGTGAAGATAAGATCGTAGAGGTCATCTGACTTTAGATTTAAATTCAGCATCCTCGAAAACCCATATAGGAGTTTTTCCAATTTTTTAACCTTTTTTTCATGATTTGACCTTCAATTGACCTTTAAATGACCTGTAGATGTCAATATTAAGTCAAAATGACCCTGAATTTGAATTCAGCGACCCCCAAAACATAAAAAATATATTTTTCGGATTTTTATATCGAATTTTCTAAGTTTGACCTTCAAATGACCTTGAAGGGAAGGTCGTAGAGGTCATCTGACTTCAGATTTGAATTCAGCATCCTCAAAAACCTATATAGGGATAGTTTCAGATTTTTAAACCTATTTTTCATGATTTGACCTTTAAATGACCTTCAAATGACCTTAAATCGATCTGATGGCGAAAAACCGACAACGGATTCGGATTCAGCGACCCAAAAAACATAAAGTCTACTGGGTCCGGTCTCTGGAACTGAGCATTTTTTTTTTTGTGTGCCTGTGTTATAGATTTATATATTTTACTGTTATGTGTCGGAATGGTAGCTAAAGTTAAGGCTTTTTTTATATATATGATAGTGTGCTGTGGCGAGAGGGGAAGAAGCGGGTCCAGGGTGGCAGCCCTGGTGGGGGTGCAGGGGGCGAAGCGAAGTTTACTGTCATAAACTGTAAATAAAAAGTTTATATGATATTTAACTGAGGTAAATTTTGACTTATGATTCCCACATTGTTGCACGGAAGTTAAAATAATGACGATAATAGTAGCTAGTGATTACTTTATTCGGTTAACAAGCAGAAAACGTGAACACAGTGAAGAAGGATCGATGCCTACATCTCTACGTATACTATTGTTACTATTACCGCGTATGTTATACAAACAGGCGGCCCTTACTTCGTTGCATTTACGTTTTCTGTTCAATAACCGAATTGAATTATGTTTGGTAGTGTACATATAATAATAAGTATACTAGTTTGATCATGTTATTTGAGCTATTCGTAGCTTACTAATCGAATAATAGTATGCTATTTGAGTATTCTTATACTGATGGCACGGATTGAAAGCCGTCTGTTGAGGTTAAGTTGCTCGTATGTACACACACATAGCAGCGCCAAGTCAGTACACGTTACGACGCGCAGCCGGGATTAAAAGTGCCACTTTCTTCCCCGACAACAGGGAAGAAAAACGAGCTTTCGGTCAGAGGAGGAGAAAAAAAAATTTCTACATTAATTATAGTTTTTTTATATTTAAGTGAGAGAAAATGTAGGAAATTTAATCACCTTTCCAACGAATTTAGTTTCATTCCGATCGGATTAGTATTTCCCGAGAAAAATAGGGAAATGTGTGGAAAAACGTGGTTTCACCCTCTTATCTACATGGAAAATCCGGATGCTGTATCCGCTCGAGGTATGCTGAATAGAGCATTGGGAAATAACGAAGTGAATGCTAGAGTAGAACGCGAACAGTTAGCGAGAAGAAATGTTCATAGGTATTACTTAAGAATACTTCACAATTTTTGTAATGATATCTGAATTTACATTTACTCTGTTATGCATCATAGAAACATACACGCACCCACTATCACGATACGACATTATTAGCGACCAAACGAAACACTTCAAAACTTCTAGATCATTAAATACATTATTAATATTTGAAAAGAATAATCTGTGAATTATAGATGACTACCATTGGACTCGAATCAACTCGTCGATTTTCCAGTTCTTACGGTTGCATTCCTCGAAGAGTTGACGGTCGGAGTTTATCAAGTTGGATTGGCTTCGTCTTACGTTCAAGATTCATTTGAAAGAGAAGATAATGATGAATTGCAAATAGAACTCTTAAGAGATGAAGAAAGGTTACCAGAGCTAGGATTTTTAAGAGCACGAGCTTGGTCGAGACACCGAAATAGAACACGATACCAAGTGTTTATCGCTTATATTCCTAACGCTAATATGAATGATGAACCAATACGAGGCTATTATTGAACTTGCAAAACAGGAGCTCGTACTTTAGGCACATGCGTACATGTCACGAGTATGCTATGGTATTTGGGTTACGCAAGGCATGAAAGAAATGTTCATTATCCTTCCCGTATTTTAATAAATACAATCGATGATGCCGCTGACAGACCAGAACAAGTGAATCCACCACACCACGATTAAAAATCACTAACTTACATCATTCTTCCATGCATTTACTCTGCACTCTCGTTAGTTCTTTCGTTGAAATTGTCAAGTGGGACGACAAGGCCCCACCAGTGACTGCCGCCGCTGATGAACTATGTTCATCACTCTCGTTGTCGCGCGCCGCGTCACTGATGCGGCCTTGTCGTCCCACGTGACAATATGTACCATTATATTAAGGTCTTGCCGGTCTATAAAGTGCTTGATAAGCCGGAGTACTCAAATACAAAAAAGCCATAAAATTGTCAACTGTAATCTGTAGTTAATTTGTTCATTCGTAACTTCGTTACATATGCATTTATACGTTTGCTATAATACAAGAAAAATAACTTGATAAGAATTTATGTTAAGATATTTTGTTGATTACTGTTTATATACTGGCGTAACATGAATAAAGAGCACCTCCTTCAATTTTTGGATTTAAGAAACGAAATTTCGCAAAAAAGTAGCTCTTATCAGGTAGAACAACTGTGTGAAACCTGTATTCTGTGAAACTTATAGTTTTCAAGTTATTTAATTTGCAATTTTTTTGCGAAAAATCACGTCTTCGGTTCTTCACTGGAATAATCTTTCACAGTTAACTTAGGGAGTTCTTTCCAAAGAATTTTAAAACTAGAATGTTATAGCTTTAAAACGTATATCTCGTTTTTTCAATCCAACGAGCAAAGGTATGAATGAAATAATACAACTTTTCCAGATCGATCTGCGGTGCGGGTTCTGATAAATTTTTTTTATAAAAGTTAGACTGTAATACGGCTATAATTAGATTATTATTCATCATGATTCGATGTTTCACGCGAATACTTCCATACTTGCTCAGCTGATTTATCAGCTGCAAATTTTCAAATATATTATTTGAGGGTGAGGATGAAAATCCCTAAGTGAGATCGTCGAAGAACATTAAATTTGTATTTTTGAATCGATTTATTTTAGATATTTTTTAATACTAGAATCATATATGGTTTTTAAAAAATTTATCTTTAATTATTTTTAAAATTTACCGCTCCCTTTGTATGTATACTGACCGTGGACTAATTTTGTCCACTGGATCACGGAACGTCGTATGCTTATAAATGTTCCATACCGACCGAATTTGTGTTCGAATTGTGACAGAAGTACTATAACATCGGCTTGCTATTGTTGCGCTACATCTGAAACAATGTTATCCGCGAGGTCCTGTTGCAGTTTTCGTCTTTCATCGTAGCGCGGGAACCATAATGAAAAATCGAGTTAGGGTCACAAAATTGTTAGCATCTTATACAATATAAAACAATAATAAGATGGTCATTTTTCTTAGCTATTTATAAGTTGTGGGCTGTTCAATGATCGAGACTTAACTGAACTACACCAACAAATTTTTGGTTGGTTTATAAAAATGATTGAAATAAACGTTTGGTCAATTGATAGCTTCATTAGTAACTTTCACTTAGCAACTTTCATAATTAGAAAAAATAAAAATATTTCATATGAATACCTATAATTATGAATGAATAAAAAAAGGAAATTACCTTAACAGTCGCATAAAATAATCAGGCCAGTTATTTGGAAACATTACTAAAAAGAATCCAATAGCTATTAAAATCATTCCAGCTAATTTCATTCCAGCAAAATTCGCTCCGTACAATATTACGTCAAGAGCTGTTGATAAATTTTTTTTATGATCATATATAGTTATGCAAAATGTTTTCATTGTTATACAACTACATTAGCACATACAGTAAACCGTTTGTTATTTCCCAAGTTGTTCCCAGTATTTTCCCCAGTTAATCTTTGTTCCAGACGTTGATTCTGGTTCCTAGGGTGTAGAAAAAAGGGGTGTAGAGAAAAATACGGGTACGAGTCCAAAAGGTAATAGTTAACACGTGCTATAACTCAAAAAACTGAAATCGATTTTCAAAAAAATTCTTATAAAATTCTGAAAATATTTTTTCGTGTTCTTTGACTAATTTTAAGAGGTTTTTTTTCTTTGCATTTTTTTGTTTAAATGCTTCTATCTCAAAAATGGCAAATATCAAAAACGTGTTTTTTATGCTCAAATTTTATAAAAAAACTAAAATTTCACATCACGTTTTTAAAATTTGTGATTTTTTATATCGAGATAGAAGCATTTAAACGAAAAAATGTAAAGAACAAAAACGTCTAAAAAATTTTTAGTAAAAACTAGTCAAATATAAGAGCCCCCAAAAAAATATTTATGGAATTCATTGAGAACTTTAAAAAAAAAGTCTTCGACAATTTTTGGCTTGTTGAGTGACCGTGCGTGTTAACTATTACTTTTAGGACTCATACACGTGTTTTTTTCAGTTTTTACATCCAAGCAACCAGAATCAACGTCTGGAGCGAAGATCAAAAAAACTTGGGAAAAAACAACCGGTGTAATATACAGTTGTATTCGGGCTATTCTATGTAGAGCGTAATAAGACAAAAAATTTAGTTGAAATGAACTATGTAAAATTTCATTATAACTATTGAAAAATATAACCATGAAAATGTTGGTCTCTAGGTCCATACCCTCGTAGATCTACAGAGGCTCAAGTTGCATTTTAATTTTTTACATTTTTTTTCTGTTTTTTGGGGGGAGGGGGTGAATATGGTTGATTCTAAGAGTAAAGTAGAATGTCTAAAAAACTACTTCTGTCGCTGTCTACTGTCGCAGACCTGTCGGTAGCTCGCGGACAAGAGATATACCTTGAGAAAAGAACTCTGACTTGCTCTCACGACGTGGCCCACGAGCCGATGTTTTGTAGCACGAGTCGCCAGTATCTCGCCAAAAACCGAGCGATCAACAGTTTACTTACACCTTCATATTTATTTTCCATATTCACACCAGAAAAGTAAAATAAAATTTAAAAAATGATAATAAAAGTTCAAGTTTCTGTAGATATATCAGATATGGACCCTATGGGTTGAAATTTAGAAAATCATAATTTTTTTATTAGTCCAGGCCCCAGCTTCGCAATGGTCAAAAAAATTTTTTTAGTCGAGTTTTGTACACATTCCCATGTAAAATTGCCCGCTGAATCCGAATTTGCATGTTGCCAGGCCCAAAAACGTGCCCAAAATTGTTTAAACAAATTTTGTTTAAACAAATGGTCAAAATTTATGTTTTTTGACCTGGCAGTACATTTTTTAAATCAATTGGATCATTTTAAAGAGAAAAGGTCTCTTGACATTTTTCTCTAAAGTTGATAGATTTCGAGTTATTCAACATTTTATGTTGCAAAAAACTCGAAAATGGCCAACTTCGACATTGAAAAAATATGTGAAAAACGTAAAATTTTGATGTTGCCATAGCGTTTTCTTACACTTCAAACATCCCTTTATAAAGTCCCGAAGCGTTTTGGACGATAAAATTGATGAAAATTTCAAGCGCAAGTTGCGGGAGCAATGCGTATGGCTAACCATACCGTCAAACTCGCTGATTTGAAAGTTGATAGCAAACAGGTTTTCAACGATTTTATCGTCTAAAACGCTTCGGGACTTTATAAAGGGATGTTTGAAGTGTAAGAAAACGCTATGGCAACATCAAAATTTTACGTTTTTCACATATTTTTTCAATGTCGAAGTTGGCCATTTTCGAGTTTTTTGCAACATAAAATGTTGAATAACTCGAAATCTATCAACTTCAGAGAAAAATGTCAAGAGACCTTTTCTCTTTAAAATGATCCAATTAACTTAAAAAATGTACTGCCAGGTCAAAAAACATAAATTTTGACCATTTGTTTAAACAAAATTTGTTTAAACAATTTTGGGCACGTTTTTGGGCCTGGCAACATGCAAATTCGGATTCAGCGGGCAATTTTACATGGGAATGTGTACAAAACTCGACTAAAAATATTTTTTTGACCATTGCGAAGCTGGCGCCTGGACTATATTAGAATTCTTGTGCATTCTTTCAAAGTACATACTTAGTTTCAATTCATTCTCTGTTACAAAGCCAATTTTATTTTTTACTGAGACAAATAATCTAGCTAACGAAATAAAAAAATTGAACATACCCGCTGAAACAGGAACTGCTGTGATTATTCCAAGAGTTATAAATAATTCATATGTTACTGCTATACTGAAATTTCCAAGCATACTAGCAGCTGGAATAAGTTTTATTAAATGAGTCATTAACAATACATCAAATCAATGCCTCCTAGAAGCAAGATGCCAGTTCACAGAATAACATCATGCCAGTTCAGAATCTATTCAACAAGGTGCTAGTTCGGCAAGATGCTACGTCAGCGCTGCGCTTAGCAAGATTCTAGTTCTTGGCCGTGTTTTGCAAGATGCTATATCAGGCCACCGTATAATAATCATATTTATAATAAAAATCAAAGCCCGACTGTAGATTACACTTTTGCAAAGACAATTTAAATCTGTATAAGATTTAACCTTCACCTCTAAAGAATTATGTAGTTTTAAATTGTCCTCTTAAAGTGTAATCTATTGCCGAGCTTTCATGCTCATTATTTTTATTATATTCGACGTGCCAGAGCTGAAAGAGGCCACTTCGGCGCTCCGTGCAGCATGATATTGCCAGTGCAGCGCTCTATTCTATAGGATGGTATTTCCGCGTTTGAAATGACACCATGTTAATGTTTCATGTTTTAGAAGTAAATGTTGATGCTCTTCCAGTATCTGTCATTGGAATGAAGATAAAAATTAAAGTTATAACTTCAAACGCAAAAATACCATTCTACAGATCGAGCGCTGAATTGGCATCATGCTGCCTGAAGTACCGAAGTGGAATCTTTCAGCTCGAAATGACATCTTTCTTGCTCTGCTCTGCAGAGCGGAAGGTTTCAGCTCTGTCACGTCGATATGGGTCCCGTAGCATCATGCAGAAAGTGGCCACGAACTAGCATTTTGCTGACCGTAGCGCTAAAGTAGCATCTTGCCAACAGCCAAATCGATTCTGAACTGGCATGATGCTGCTCTGCTCTGTAAATTGGCATCTTGCTGCTAGAAGGCATCGAAATATTTATTACATTTTTTAATAATAAAGACACTTTGAAAACTTACCTAAATGTAAAAAACTAGCAATTAATAAAACAGTCCATGGTAATGTGTTCCAATTAATTCTTTCAATTCCCGAAAAATACATTATCACACATATAGGCCAAAGAAGCAAAGCATTACATAATCCAATCATTGTGAAAAAAAGTGATATTTGACCAAAAGTAGTATCACCAATGACTTTTTTAAATAATACCTGTAAATTACAAACAAAAAATTATTACGGTTGTGTATGGTTTATGTTATTGAATGTTGTAACAGATATTTTTTTACAGCCAATGTCTTTATCAGTTTACGTGCTATAAAAGCTTGTATATCACGTGATGGATACACGCTCAATGCTACATTTAAGTGCTAAGGTGCTTGCGCGCACACAAGGACACAAGACACGAGAAAAGTAGTCGTAAAAACAGAAATCTTTAAGCTTGGCACCATTATCGTAATGGTATAGAACTCACTTGCAGTACTGTGGAGGATTATTATAGTTACAGCCGAGAGATCGCTGAAGTAGCAGCTTCGTATAGCGATTTAGTATTAGTCGGTCATGATAAAACTTTGCAAATTGACGAAAAGTTTTTAACCAAAAGGAAATGCCATCAAGGCTGCATAACAGAGCAAATGAACATAACTGTTCTTGGATTATACTGCAAAGAAGATAAGATTGGGCTATTTTTTAAAGTGAGTTAGAAAAGTAGGAAGGAACTGTGGCCGTATATCAAGAAGTACGTACGTTCATCATGACTCGTCGAGATTATATAACGATAGCGCGAAGAGGCACGAAGGAGATAAAATGATAGATAAAATGAATCCGCAAAACACCATAAATTATCTAGAAAATCAGAATAAATTGTTGAAAAAACTATTTAAATGTCGTGAATCATCCAAATTGCTCCATTAATATATAGCCTTATATTTTGTGGTGCGGTGGCGTGTTACCGCAATACATGATGCCAAGACAGAGTCTGGTAGTCGGTCATGACCTTTCATACCCCAGGCATAGTTGTCGGAGAATTCCAGGAAGGCCTGACACTTAGAGAAATCGACCCCCCCCCCCCCCTCCTCTTGGGGGAATAGGAAAAAGAGAAAATGATAAAATCAACTTGACTCGTGAATTACTAACAAGAACAAATAAGGTTTATTTGGTCAGACTGGCTATTGTGTGCCACTTCTCGGACAACAGACTACTGTGTACTGACTCGCCACGCAAGACGAGCTCATAACTACGCGCGCGTGCCGTCGCGCGCAGACTTAGGAGGGGAGGCAAGACTGTCGACGCCACAGGCTCTTGGGAGCATGGTAGCGAGAAGTGGAGTGCCTGCGATGACGTGGCCTCGTGCGAGCGCTGGATCGTCAGTAACCGAGGAGCTGAGGTCGCACAAGGGCTGCGAGTTGAGGCACGCCTCAATTTTTATGGCTAGAGGGGCCATTTCCTCATCAGCGATTATCACGTGAAGCGAAGACTGCCACCCGGGGTAGGCTGTTTGTCGCAACACTTATATGGTAAAGCCCGCCGACATTTGCCGCCCAAGCGTAGCGGAGGGTGAAGGTCGACGACGGGATTTGCAACAAATAGCTTCAGTAATGTTTATTAGTTAAGGACTAATATCATTATTTAATAATTTTAAATGATAGATAACTATGATATAAATATTGTATAAACGATCCCACAAAGTATATGGATGGAAGTATTAGTACCATATTTTTTCTTTTTGCGATTCCCTCCTATATGTTTTCAATGTATTTCGATTGTAATAAATGCCTAATGACTAATGACAACTTTGCATGAGTATTGATTAATCTCGATCTCCGTTATCCTGTTACTAAATTTTTGCTTCCTCATAGAGGAAGCTCTGTGATAGGCTCGAAAACGAGATTTTGAACCAGACCTCGTAGGACAATTTGGTTTATATATTTGTAAACTATATCCAATTCTCAACAAATGTCCGTATGAGTTTTTGTTTTCTCGGCCTTTTGGCTAACAGTCGAAGTGTAGTTATGACAAAATTTAACGATACGAATTTTCACGTTTTTTTTTTTTTATGAGGAAGCTCTTTGCCAATGAATTGGCAGCGGTTTTTTAATAGCTCTCTATTTCCATTTTAATTGAATTAAATCATTATTAATAATTTAATTTTACCTTATATACTGCAGATCCTGCTGCCGCCGAAGCGGCTAAAACAACTCCACCAAGAGTTGGGCTTCCCGTGATTCCATCCATATATGCAAGTAAAGCAATTCCAGTGTCACACATGATAACTGCTACTATCTGTAATTTGCAATAAAATTCATTAAATCTTCTTAGTTAAATCTTATACCATTCACATTTGTTTCGAATCAATTTTATGAAATAAGTTAAACTATAACAAAAGTAAGTGATTTGCTAAATCTAAGTAAAAATTATAGTTTTAGTAGATCATAGACGTTTGACCAAAATTAATGTGATAATGAAGATGAATAAGATTAATGATTAGAAGTATTAGTGACTGGTTGGAGATTTGTTTCTTTGGTAATAAGTGGGGATTATACACGCGTCCAGAACCTTTTCAAAGGTTTCGTATTTATCGGTAACTTGTGAATTTAGAAATTAACTGCTACAAAATATATATTTTTTTATATATTTGTTTTATGACATATTCACATTACCACTGATTTCAATGGGATAGTGATCACTACCACAAGAATCATTTAAGACTAGCCAATGAGTGAAGACTACTAGAAGGTACACGGAAAATGTTTTTATAGGTGGAACGTTAAGCAAAAAAATATCGCACTACGAGAGAACGCAGTTTTATTAAGATTTTTGAGGAAGTTATAATAAATGTATTACATAAAAAAATATTTACCCTTACGCCGACGAATTGTTCATGCAGGATTACCCATGATAGCAAATAAACACACGCAACATTAGTGGCAAATAATGTTATTACATCTGTCGCAAGGAGAATACTGAGCGAATGGATGTACATGTAGTTTGTAGCGACCCATAAACCACAAAAAAGACTTGAGCGACTTAAGAATCGACCACTTGAAAAACCTTTTTCTCTAAATCCCTTGAAAGTATCTGATAAAATGGTACCTGGTGTATTACATTTTGACTTGAATAATTGATGTATGAAATATACTGGATAATATAATATGGTCCAATTCGTGCAAAACCAAGTTGTAAAGAAAGATGCATCGAAAATTCTAGCATTCTGAAAAAAGTAGAATAATTTTTAATAATTCAAGTAATCTTCTGAATAATTGCAATAATATTTTTCATTATCCATTTCATTAAAAACATTATATTCGAATCGCAGTTGTTGAAAAATATTTTAAGAGTCAGGGTGCATTTATAGGGATTAAGCCGTTTTGTCGATTTTTTAATTTACAAAAATAAAACTTTTTCATGTCCTCTTATGAAGAGAAATACTGCATCTTTTACGTTACTGCGAACAATGATAAATGTTCGTAATTAGAATAATTTATTGCGACTCATGATTTTTAGTACGATTTGAGCTCTCTGGATTAGTTTTAAATGTAAAAATCGCTGTAAAAGTACCTAAATACACCTGGAAGAAAAAATTATGTTAAATAATTTAGATAGAAAGATCAAGAAATTTTGCCATTAACCTAAACATTTTTCAGAGAGGGTTTTTTGATTTCATTGAGATATAGGGAGAGAAAGAAGAAAAAATCTGTTATTTTGGTGGTTTCTGCGTATTTGGTTGGCGCACAGCGCGCGAAGGTCACAATTTTTTTACTTTCTCTTCCTATATCTCACTTGAATCAAAAAATCCTCTCTGAAAAATGTTTAGGTCGATGGCAAAATTTCTTGATCTTTCTATTTAAATTATTTAACATAATCTTAAAAATGAAATTTTTGAGATAATTGACTTTAAAGTTTTCCCGGTGGCTTTCCCGGGGAAAATGAAAAGTTTCGGGAAAGGGTCTGACTACTTTTATACTACTATTTAGAGATAATTCGTACACGACATTTTTGATTTTTGAAATATTTTAAAATTGGTTAACGGATCTCCAAATAACCCGAGATAACCCTAGTTTTACCTGAAAAATTGTAATTTTCGTTTACGAAAATTAAAAATTTCGTGCCCAAATTTCCCCTGAATAGCCACTTCGTTTGGGAAATCCAAACTTACCATCAGAGAAGGCTGAGGCAATTTTTCATCAAAATTTTGGGTTATTTTTTCTTCCAGGTGTATTTAGGTACTTTTACAGTGATTTACAAATTTAGCGATTCGACTAAATAATGGCGCGTGGCGCGGAGACAATAATGCGACATAATAATAATAATGCGGCACTGGGAGAGTTGAAGTGAAATACCACCTAGGGGAAACTGAGATACTGCATAGCAGTCGGGCATGCATACCATTTAAATAACTATGCAATCAACAATCGTTTGAGCAACATTGGATGAATGTATAAACTTCAACTTTTTTAAACTACCAGGCGCACAAAAAATTAGCAAGAAAAAAAAAATTGAAAAATTGAGAAAAAATAAATTTAAATAAAAAAGCTAGAATTCTGAAATCGAATAAGTAAAAACTAGAAAAGTAAAAAAAAACAAATTTAAAACAAATTAAAAATTGAAAAAATTAAAACACACACACACACACAAAGTCAGAAAATACCAGCACAAGTTTCGATGTTTCACATCTGGTGCTTTACTGGTGATTACTTAACTCAATAAGAAGGACAGATTTTAAGAGTAAGCACTCATTGACTATGCACCAGATGTGAAACATCGAAACTTGTGCTGGTATTTTCTGACTTTGTGTATGTGTGTGTGTTTTAATTTTTTCAATTTTTAATTTGTTTTAAATTTGTTTTTTTTTTACTTTTCTAGTTTTTACTTATTCGATTTCAGAATTCTAGCTTTTTTATTTAAATTTATTTTTTCTCAATTTTTCAATTTTCAATTTGTTTTGTTTAGATTAAGCAGTGATTTTTAAATTTTATTTGTCTCTGAATTTTCATTCCTTTAATTAATAGATGAAGATGTTTCACATCTTGCAGCTGTTCTTAAACAGCTGGTTTTTTTCTAATTTTTTCAATTTTTAATTTGTCGTTAATTTGTTTTTTTTTACTTTTCTATTTTATTGGAAATCACATTTTCAAAAAAAAAAAAATGACTCGTACTTTAATTATTTTCTTTAACTTTCAATTGTAGCTTCGAAAGTACATTTTTATTAATTAAATTAGTGCATTGAACGGTAATCGTTCGTTGTATGTTAATATAACATGATAAAAATGTCGACTTCCCTTAAGAAGACACACACTCATAGACACGTATACATGAATGCATTGTTGAACATCAGATTTGAAAACATGCATGATAGTGCGTAGAATCTCGCGACGTATACGCATAGACAGCACATACGTATTCTATGTATTATCGTACGCATAAGCAAGAGAGAGAAAGATATCTCAACGCAGTCAATGCCGTGAGCTAAGCTGACTGCTGCTTATGCTGTTACATTGCCTCGTGCGTATATGTCGTAAACACAGTCGTACGCGCGTGCGAGAGAGAAAGAGATACGCGCGCCGAGTTTCGGCAGCGGGCAGCAGCAGAAAGCAGTTCTGTAGCTGGCGCGGCAGCCAATCACAGCGCGTAGCGCAAACCGACGCTGTATAGGCAGTTTTACTACCAAAGTTGCGCTCGCTCGGACGGACGGACGGACGCTCGGTTTTTACGGGTTTACCCCTGATGCCAAACGCGAATATAGATGTTTCACATAAAAAATGTTTATTTGTAAATTGAATGTTGCTTAAATTATGCCATGTGTGAAAGCGTAGCAAATCTAACTTTTAGAAGTTCTAGAATTGGCAAGAGAGAATAACGTGCTTATTTTGTGTTCACCACCCCACTGCTTGCGCATGATGCAACCCTTGGACGTAGGCTTATATAATCGAACGAACTCCAGAGTGATGCTCGATTCAGATTGTATGTAGCGCCTCCTCCAAAGAGATCACCTGGTAGTCTCCCTCGTTGTGACCATGTTTACCGCACGTTCAAAGCAAAAATGTAGCGCGTTGCCGCCGCAGCGCTGCGTGACACCATGCTCGAGCTGCGCGCCACCACACTCGCGCCTCATTTCTATAAAGCTAAGCCGTAGATGATTGGGAACATATCTAGTAGCACAAGATATGGGAGTTTTGGGTGGGACTGATATCTTTGGAGGAGACGCTACTTACAATCTGAATCGAACTGCACTCTGGAGTTCGTTTAATTGTATAATTCTATTTCGCGCCTTCTCCTTCAGATATACCTGGTAGATCTTAAAAGCTCATCTACGGCTGATAAGAGTACATCGATTAAATTCCGATCGATGTGATGAGAAAAGAGACATCATATTTATTAACATACAGAAATATTTTGTACAAACAAATATAAACTAAATTAACAAAATAATTAGGAACGATGATTCTTTAAAATAGCTAAGGCGTACTCTTCGTTATCTGTGATGATTTCACGATTGTAAAACTTAGCGAAGGTAGCTGAGCTCTTGGACCATCCTGCTGTCCTTCTTATTAAATCTTGGTCAACACCTAATCTATTCTCCGTCGAAGTTGACGCATGACACCCAGGTGAAAATGGTATGTTAATTGTTAGATCTGACTGCAGATCTGACATCAGATCTAAAATGTCAGATCTGAAACGACTGTATCGCTCCTGATTGTTTAAGGTGGCTTCTCAATGTTTGGGTTTTTTATAAAGTGAATTTAAATTAATTCGATAACTTTTATTGTTTAAGATTTGTTATTAAATTTTAATTATTCATAAACTTATTGTTTAAATAATTAAAGACGTCACAGTTACTTCAGATCTGACATCTGGAGCCAGATCTGATATACTCTTTTTATCTGGGCGCGTACGATGGGCAGAAAACATAGTGGGTCCAAAAGAACTTTCTTGATCCACCGGCTCAGTGTCTGAGATGATATGGCCTTCACTGGTTTATTGGTCGATAAAAATAACTGATTACTCGATTTTCTTAAGTCCTTTGTGACTTCTATATACCGTGCAAGACAGGATGATGCACGTATACGATCATCCTCGTAAAAAGACAAAGTAAGCAAAGGTTGCAACACTCCTTTTCCTGAAGTCTTTATTTGCTTCGGGATACGAATCTCACTCTTTCATAATACTTAATTCTAGCTCGATACGTTTGAAAGCCCAATGAGATAAACGAGCGATATCACTCAAGTTTTCTATGAGAGGAAAATCCTCCTCCAAGCTCCGATTGAGAAGGCTTGGTAACATTTTAGCAATTCCACTGGCGCAGGCTGCTAGCTTTCCTTGCTTGAGAACAAATCTCTGATCTCTTGGACGGATAACTTCATTCAAGGCTAAACTGATTTCCTTGTTTAAATCAGGTGGGTCTAAAAAAGGACAATTTTCCGGAATTGGGTACTTTTTAATAAGATCAAGCCTCTCTTCCTTGGGTAGTCTAACTTTTGTAATGTCAGACCAACGTTCTGCTAATGAGATATGCACCGGCTGAGCAAAAGTACGTTTTTCAATGACGCGTTGACCAATGACATTCAAAATACTTTGATCCAACGGGTCTTTATCGGTCGAATCCGCGCCCTCAAGACTTTTTTGCTTTATCGTTTGCTGCTGCACGCCGTCAGCTGTCTTGCTCGCCCCGTCATCGTGTCCTGGCAGGCCGATTGTTGGCTACTGCCGCTCGTCAATCAGCTTTTTAGTCTCGCCATCTAGCGGACTTTGGCAAAGCTTAGCTGCCGTCGGTAACCTCTCCTTAGATTTCGAGGATAGCTCTCGACTTCTCACGGCCACCTGTTAAACAGATAGGGGCCAGCGGTGTTAAACGTTATTGATCAGGTAAGCTCCTGAACAAAATGTACGCTTGCTACTTTCAAACCATAGTTTTGGATCACACTAGGGGTTGAGTGGTAGTTACGCAGTATACATATGCAAGCATAGGTTACAGCCTCATGTCTACCGTGCTCGACAGATCTCAGAGATTCTATTGAGCATAACTTTACAAACAAGCGTCAGACGCCATATGTAACCTTGCTGTAAAAAAAACTTACATTTCGTGGAATCCGAGTTGCATGATGATGATGAAGAGTATGACTCTGCTCTACGAGGACTGCTTGGTCGAGGCGGAGAGCGACGACGATCTCTCCTCGACTTACTTTCCTTCATCTTCCTGATGACTTTCGCAACTTTAGCTGCCAACTCTTCGTTCTCCGATGAAGAACGTCTTCTTCTCGATCTTTTTCCCATCCTTTTTTCTCTGGTTAATCACTCTTATCCTACGTATTCGTGTGGCTGTGTCGGCACACAAAAAAGGAATGAGGCGTGAGTGTCGTGGAGCGCAGCTCAAGCATGGTGTCACGCAGCGCTGCGGCGGTAACACGCTACATTTTTGCTTTGAATGTGTGGTAAGTATGATTGATTGATTGATTAGTGTATTTATTGGGGCCCTGAGGTATAACCACATGGGGCCCAACGGCAATTTACAGATACAGTTTAGTCAGTAAAATATTTTAACAGCAAGTATAACAGAAGCAAAGGAATATTAACATTTGTAAAAATCAGTCTAGAACGTAGATGGTGGTAGTCATAGCAGCAAGTGTGCGGCTGTTCCACAGTTCTTGGCACTGAGTATCTCTCAATTTTGAGGGTAAATAGAGGAGCAAGTACGAGTCCCACAATCAATACCGCCGCAGCCACTCGGTCCACCGCAACGTGAGAGGAAAGGAGCAAAAGGGTAAGAAGCATACTAATGAAAGATATCGAAGTAAAGGAATATTAACGGAAGGTTATTTAGCAGGCTTCTAATGAGATGACAGTGAGATGAAAACGAATGAGGAATGACTTGGAAATGTGGCTAGAGGAGCGAGTAGAAACTATTGAAAGGTGAAACGTAAATAGAAGTTTATAGCAGGAGAAAGGTGGATGAGATTTAGAGCAGAAAAAGAAAAAAGAACAGAGTAAGAAGAAAGAAGAATGCAAGAGAGGAGATTTACGAAGAGATTTATGAAGAAGTCTGCGAACCAGGGCTGAAGTCAGAAGTCAGCGGTTCCATGTCTTGAAGTGGTGCACCACGATTATCACTCATGTGCTGACCAGGACGGTGGCGATCTTGTAGTTCTAGCAAAGCGAGGTCCTTCATCGATCGGATACGGGTCACCGGTCGACCTGGCCCACACCTCATGTACACGCCGAGTCCACGTCTGAATGGTCAAGGGTAGTGCAGTCCGCGCGCAGTCACAATTCGACGCTGTTAAGGAAGAGTAGCACGTTTCTATACATTTTTAAATGTAAACGTGCTAGTCTTCCTTAACAGCGTCGAATTGTTCGCCGCCAGAGACGGTAAACGTCGCGTGGAAGTATAGAAGAAGCCCGAATGCACCCCTCGCCGTCGACACCGAACAGTCGCCTCAAGGAGAGCTCGTGCAACCCCGGAGAAGAGCTCATGACTTGGTCACGAATTAAAGGGCTAGCAAATTGTATCACAATTTGCCGTGTCGACGAGCGTGCAGTGGCACTAGTATCTCGAATTTTCCAGTCGCGTACCCGGACAATATGAGCCTCAAACCGATCCAATGGTCACAACGAGGGAGACTACCAGGTAATCTCTGAAGGAGGAAGTGCGAAATACAATTTATGAAACATCTCAGTACCTATTATCAGGTCCTGTTGCTATGCAGTTAATTTTGGGAATCTTTGAAGCAGTATTCATGACAGCTGCAAAGACGAAAACAGTTGTGAATTCTTTTATAGCGTGTGGGATTGAGCCTTGTAATCCTGCCGTTTTTACCGTAGTGTAAGTCCAGAGATCAGACCTAGTTGACTTTATGTTATGTGGGTCACTAAACCGGATACGGTATCGGTTTTTGTAAGTTGGCTCATTTTCAAGGTCATTTGAAAGTCAAAATTACAAAAAAAATCTAGAAAAAATCTGAAAATAGTTACTTATGCAACAAGTGCCCAAAAGGCGTTTTTACGCACACTGTGCATTAGGGTGGAGCGAAGTAGGCAAAAAATTTTAGATCATTTTGGAATAGTGTTCAAAGTTCATCTTTTACACAAACAAAACAACAGCCGTCCGCTAGACGTTGGCAAATGATATTTTCTACTGCAACCAGAACGTCAAGCTCCGTTTTTTCGTATTTTTTCGTTTTTCTCGAATAAAAATTGAACTTTAAGCCAAATAAACGAAATATAACGTACCGGACCCTTATAAATTGATCCAACCTTTTTTAAAATACAATAACAATCAGTTTTGATGGTTATAGTTACTCCTAAAAACTCTTGTGTTACTGGTATAGCCCGAATAACGATGATTTTTCGACTTTTTTTGCGATTTTTTGTGCATTTTCGATATCGTCCCGAATGCGTAATCTGTAATAAAAAACAAGTCTGAGACCGGTAATCGTTGTCAAGAATTGTTGTTGTTACAATAGTAATCATCATCAAGTATCAAACGAAAATTATTACGTCATAATTGTTTCTTTATTTTTTCGCTTAATGATATCAACCCATTAATGTTATTAAACCCCCCTAGAACCAAAATGATCACATTAAGCGGTACTACCTACTGTATTTATACATTTTCTAAATGAAGCAATCGTCAATTGATCACCCAACGTCAACAACGAAATTGTTGAACCGAAAATTAAAGTGAATAACAACAGCTCAAACTCATATACAAAATCTAACTTCATATGTTGGAGTAAAAGACGTGATAATATCGTACAACAGAGAAAAGTATATATGAAATGATTTTGTAAGGAAACCGAGTAGATTTCGTACTAAAATCTAGGATGATTCTGTAATAAAACCTAATTTTAAGCCGATTCAACTCTGAAACGCAGTCATCAAAATTTACAGGGCGAATTCACTACGGAATCAATCAAGATTTCATGTTGAATCTATACTGAATCGTTACGGATAAAATGGATTATTTGGCTTTTGAAACTCTACGTAGATACCAACTTCATTTTGCCATAAATCAGCAATGGAAACACGTTGATTCATTATTGATTCCATATTTTTTCTTTTACGAATTATACTATTGCTTCAATGCAGAATTAAACCTAAGTATATGTAGTGTGCATATGTTACGCAAAAGCTGGGCACGTGTTGCACAAAAAATGTTATGCAATAGTGTGCGAAAAGTACATACATATTTTACACAAAATACTAGAAATTTGAACGTTCACCACTGTCCAAAAATTATTTTTATGCACTAAAAATTGTGCCCAAAGAGGCATTTTTCACTACACTATTGCATAATAGTACTTAAAAACTTTTGTTTTTTGGCGTTCTAAAGGTAGATCCCTTAATTTTATATTACGAAGGCTCTTTTTTCTCTTGAATTAAACTATTTTATTGTTTGCGTATTATTATAATATGTCAAACCTGCTTATGATCTTGCTTTCTGAATATAGTGTAATTGGAAAAGTTCTCTGCGTCATTACCATCTAGAAAACCTGGAGATCTTTGAAAGTAAAGATATTTTATGCAATGTGTTGTTCCAACCCAGCTACCAGTGACAAGAATGGTTACACAAACTCCATAGTAAATCTATTTTGAAAATATAAAGTCTTATTATTAATATAAAAAATGTATCAAAAAAGAAATTAAACAGTATTATAATAGTATATTTTATAACAAGTGCGCGAAGCAGTTAGTTCGCGGGCAAGTTGCAAACGATCTTTTTTAACCCTGCTTGCGAGAAACGAGGTTTTTCTGATGCTTTAAGGTTAGAAACCCCGTGTTTCGCGCACGCAGTGTTTAAAAGATAAAAAAACTGCACACTGCTCTATGCCTAGAAAGTATTATAGTTATTTTTGTCATACTATTTTTGATTATTTGGAATAATATAATTTCACACAAGTATGGATTAAATCCAAGTAGACTCGCTTTCGAGAAATCAATTATTATCATTTCGTATAAAGTTTAGTTTTTCAACATATTCATAAATAATATTTTTTAACCAACCTTTTTTGCTGAAGATGAACAACAAGATTTTGTAAAAGTCGCAAATGATTCTTGATATAAGTAATGATTATGAAAATCTCCGTGTATATCACACATAGCTTGATCAATTTGTGGCGATTGCTCTTGAACAATATCATCTTGAATAGGTAAGGTGATATTTGACTGATGTACACTTGGGGAGTCCTTCATTTTCTCTGTTTCATTAGTAATCTTCTTTCGGACATCTATATTATCTTTTTTATCCATTGTTTTAAAGTCTTAAGAACGAAAAGATTATAATCAGAACGAATAATTAAAATGAATTCACGGTACATATTGTGTGAAATAAATGAAATCGTATTATTTTACTTGTAATAATTAAAAATGTATGCATGAACATTTATAATTCAATTTACGTGTATTGAATGTGTGCACGCAAAACTATAACGTATGCCATATCTGTATCCTCTACAGGATTGTGAAGTTTTAAAATAATTTTTAATTTAAATCCAGTTGTTAATTCACAAATCAAATTGATTTTTGATTGAATTGTTAAAATTACCCGTTTTCGAATTTTTTGCAACACAAAATGTTAAATAATTTAAAAACTATCAACTTTTGAAAAAAAATCTCGCGAGTTCATTTTTCTTTCTGTAAAGGAAGCTGGCAGGTTAAAAAATATAAATTTTGACCAATAATTTAAAAAAAATTGTTTAAACAATTTTAGTCAATTTTTTGGCCAGAGAACGTACAAATTTTTTGGATTAAGCAAGTAATTTTACGCATCGATATGAGACATTCCACACCAAGTAAAATCCCTTAATTTCTATCTAGCGTAAAAAGTATCGAGGAGCGCTCTCGCGCTCGATCTGGCAAGTATGACAGAGATTGATTGATCGGTTGAATAACTTTATTCGGCCACAGGGTAAACCCCATGTGGCCAGGTTGTAATTACATGGTTGTGTATAAAAATAGTAAGCGTATAGTGGCAAATATTTAAGTAGTATCGTTAAAAAACTAGTACCAAATTGTATTATTAATGAAATGAAACGTAAGCTGTGAAATGAGTTGGGTGGATGATAATGAGTAGCATTTACGGTGAGCAAAAGTTGAAGAGGAGAAGACTAATGAGTTAAGGAAGGAAGAATTTAAAACTGCGTTTGGTGAGGTTGAGTGTTCGTAAAGTAGTTGCAGTAGTATTAATGAAAATTCAATACTATAGGCCTGGGTTTTAATTCTGAGAGGTCACTCTCGGTCATGATAGGGATGAGTTCCGAGTTGTGAGTTTCACGCATAAAGACTGTGAGGTTCTTTACAATAGGCTGCGCATAATTAAGCGATAATGTAGCGTCGTGAGCTCTGTTGAACTTGAGAGAAAGAGAGAGAGAAAGAGAGAGAGAGCTGCGGCGTACACGCTCCTTATATACAGCGCACTGGCTTTTTTCGGTGCCCGCGAAAACTATTTCCCACTCTCATTTGAATTTCAATATATACTCAGAAAAAATATAGCACCCAATACTGAAGCTCCCTGTGCTTAGTTTGATCCAATGGGCCTAAGGGCCCATTTTGTAGAGGATTTTCCACATTATAAAAAAATCGTTGTTATTTTCTACATCGAAATAGAAGTACTTAAACGAAAAAATGGGACGATCAAAAGTTTCAAAATTTTTCGAAGAATCTGCTTGAATTTTTTCAGAATTTTTGGGACCATGTACCACTCTCTTTACGAAGTCCTAAAATCTACTAAAAAAAGGGTCAAATTTGGGCCTTTTGAATTAAGTGATAGATGGTCTCAAAAATTCTGAAAAATTCAAGCAGATTCTTTGAAAAATTTAAAAACTTTTGATCGTCCCTTTTTCTCGTTTAAGTACTTCTATTTCGATATAGAAAATAACAAAGATTTTTTTATAATGTAGAAAATCCTCTACAAAATGGGCCCTAAGGTCCATTGGATCAAACTAAGCACAGGGATCTTCAGCATTGGGTACCAGGAGACCGCAAAAAAATTTTGGAGCAAATCCATGACCCGAACCTGAAAAGCTCTCCTTGTAAGTATGCAAGGAAGTTCCGCTCGTAAAACCGCGTGGGGACTCGAGTTTCAATAAGGTGTTATTTTTTACTAAATTGATAAAATGATTTAAAACTAAATCAAAAACTTCTTTAACTATCACACTTCAATGTAGTATATTATGTAAAATTTTAAGGGATCTACTACCTTTAGAATTTTCAAAAAATTGATTTTTTTTCTATTACATTTTTGAAAAGTATATGGGCTATTCCACAACAGGTGTTGCAAGCTCAAAAAATGAAATTGAAAGTAACCATTTACTCTTCAAGAACACAATGAAAAATGAAAATCCTGAAGGGCACAGCCCCCTAGGTCCAACCCTTATGGATCTACAGGGGCTCAAAGTTGGATTTTCATGGTATGAGGATATTCTGCTTCTGACTCTGCTTTTCTGGGTGGACATAAGAAAAAATTTTTAAACCATGTTTTTTCATGTAAAATTTGATGTAGAATTCAAATCTGTACTCAGATGAGACATTAATAACCTCAAAACCCCTTGAAATAGAAAATATGGTGTAATAGGACATAAAAGTAAAAAAAAAAAATATGTTCGTATACCTCAAATCAGCCCATATTGTAATATGTTCATCGATACACCAAAATACAACTTCTGATAAAGTTTGGTAACTGAGTCTCTAATAGAGACAATTTGGTAGCTAGCGAAGAGGCAAAAAACATGGAAAATGAGGAAAAAACCATGTTTTTTGGCCTTTCAAAAGCTACATAATGATCTGAAATGGAAACTCAGTTACCAAACTTTATCAGAAGTTGTATTTTGGTGTATCGATGAACATATTACAATATGGGCTGATTTGAGGTATACGAACATATTTTTTTTTTTACTTTTATGTCCTATTACACCATATTTTCTATTTCAAGGGGTTTTGAGGTTATTAATGGCTCATCTGAGTACAGGTTTGAATTCTACATCAAATTTTACATGAAAAAACATGGTTTAAAAATTTTTTTTTATGTCCCCCCAGAAAAGTAGAGTAAGAAGCAGAATATCCTCATACCATGAAAATCCAACTTTGAGCCCCTGTAGATCCATAAGGGTTGGACCTTGGGGGCTGTGCCCTTCAGGATTTTCATTTTTCATTGTGTTCTTGAAGAGTAAATGGTTACTTTCAACTTCATTTTTTGGCCCTGCAACACCTGTTGTGGAATAGCCCATATGTATACAGAAGTATCTTATTAAAAATTCATAAAGATTGAAGCGGTCTAACTGTATTATTAGTCAAATTTTACTTTGTCGTTTCAGCGCGCTCAAATGCTAAAAAAATCTTAAATTGCGTTTTTCTCTAAACAAGGTTTTTCAACGGCACATTGATGAAATCTCGGGAACTAATAAATCGATCCTTACGAAATTTTTACCAGACATTCTTGACGACTATAGCTATTGAATGAATTGAGGGTTTTTCAAAATTTAGATTTTAAGTATTTTTATTTGCTAGAAATTCGTGAAAAAACGCACGTTTTTTTGTTTTTTTTGGAAAAATTTCCGCCATTTTGTCAATTTTGCAAAAATCGAAAATCGCTCAATTCATACAATAGCTATAGTCGTAAAGAATGTCTGGTAAAAATTTCGTAAGAATCGGTTTATTAGTTCCCGAGATTTCGTCAACGGCGCACAACCCTCTTTTTTTTGCACCTTTTCTTCAAGTACCTTTTTCATTGTTAAAAACGTGCAAAAGTGGATAAAAAAATTTTTTTTACACATTTCGAGAGTATATTTATTACGTGTAACACCTCTTCTATCAATATTTATAATATAAACAATTATAAAAAATTATTTAATAACCTCTGTTTTTCGACGTTCTAAAGGTAGTAGATCCCTTAATTTAAAAAATGTATAAGTTTTAAAATTAAAAAAAGACATTTTTGTCAAACATTTTAAAAATAATTTTCTATTGTGATTTATATAATTATGAAGGTTCCAAATCAAATTTGTATCCGTGAAGACTAGTCAAAAAATATTGTCTGAAAATTAAAAAAAAATCACTCACTCACAGAGATGTCGCTACCGGGCGTCGAACTTTATATACATATATATAGATAGATGTAGTAATATTTATAGCAATATGGCGGCGTACCCGAGAAGATTAACACGCGTTTAAATAAGAATTAAGATACTTTAAATATAATAATCTCGTTTTAACGCATCCTCATTATATTAATTGTGTTATATTATAGTAATGTGACAATATATTTTTTAATAAATAGCCTTTTCTTTTCAGGACTATAGGTTTGCTTCTTCGAGGAAGTGCATATAAAATGGAACTTCAATTTTAAAATTCTAAGTTAAAAGTAAAATGGAAAAGTTGCGAAAAAAGAGTATTCTCCATTAAAGACTAAATTTGTTTTTATTGTTTATAATTAAAAAGATTTTTAATGAAAATTTTTAATTGCAAAGATCTGAGATACTTTTTCCCTTACTTAATTTGCGTATCGTATGCAAATGAATTGTAAAGAAGAAAAATTAAATATTAATGTTTGTACGGTGGGGTTTTTATTTTTAATTCTCCCGAAATAATATCTTATTTAAAAGAAAAGGGGGGGGGGGGTGTTATGATGCACTAAGCCGTAGCTTTCTTAATTTGATTAAATGAAGACTTTTAAAAAATAGTGCATTTGTATTGATAATTTAAAAAATTTATAATAGAGCAATGCAAAAAGTTCTTAAAATTATATTTATAAGAAGTTGACCACTCAAAAATTTATCATGATTGTAATATTAGGAAATTTCACTTTGGAAAATGAAAAGACAATTATAATAATTTTATACTTATGTGTGATATATCAAGTATTAAATAATTTTGATTTAAATTTGACTAATATAGACATTTACAAAAACTGTACAGCTATTTAATTAATTTACACTTTTTACAAGCGCTATAATAATCATTATATAAAAGAAAATGAAAATAATTTTTTTATGTTGATGTATTCTAGAAAAATGTTGCTATCTTAGAATATCATATAATTGTAAAATGTTTATTACAAATATACCTAAGTTGCGGATAGAAATAAATTGATCACTTTTTTTTTTCTCTTTACTGTTGTATTGAATAGCAGTGCAATTTTCATTAGGCTGAAAAATGATAGATACTTCACTTGAAGTCTTCATTCTTGTACATATAAGATCGAATTAAATAAAGCTTCAGAACCTTAAAATTTGTATTCGTTTTAATTCATTTAGTCCTGGAAATATTTCACGAAACCGTATAAAAATTCGCAAAAGGTGAGGGAATACTCTCAATGTAACAAAAGTTTTGCAGCACTAAAAGTGCGCATGCTCAGCTCTAAATTATCACCGTTGACAAAGATTGATGTTTTCTTTTAATTTCTCGGATTGTTTTTATCAGGTTCAAACATTAAATATTTTTCATTATCAATAAATGCGACGAAAAAAACTTTTTATGAAATTTGACGTAGACATGTACAGGGTGTCACAAATTGTGAAAACCAGTGAAAATTTCGCAGAGTAGAGGCAATAAAAAAATCAAAAACCCTTTGTCCAACGTATTTTTCGACGAGAAATCGAATCATGACCTTGAATTTGATTTTAAACATCAAGGTTCATTCTTTCAACTTAATTTTCAGGGCCTTGCAGATACAAATAAAGCCGTAATTTTAACTAACAGTAAAGAAAACAAAAAATTTATTTAGAAATGATTAAAATATGATTTTTTTCTCCTTTTCTTTAAATTCTACTTGAAAAATTACGTTTTGATAATAAACCTTTTTTTACAAATAGGTTGTTACAAATTACAGTAGAGGATTAAGGGGACCGACCTGTAATATAAAAATAGTTACATAAATCGAAGTAGTGGACATTTTCTTTTTGTGATAGTAAAATATGTTCATTCTATACCTGATTAACCAAAAAAACTTCTACCCAAGCTCTGGAGAACCAATTAGATTACTTCTTTCATAATACTAAATATTGTGTTATAAATCCCTTGCCGTATGATCTTGAAAAGAGTTTTTCATCAATGTTTATCTATGGGGTGTGAAAATCGACAGAAAAGTACCCTCACCCACTTGAGCGGAGCAGAATTTGAATGACAATTTTCATCGTGTTATTTGCCGTATTTTGAATATTACAAGAATAATGCTCTAGCGTTCGCTAGTCAATCAGTTTACGCAATTTTTAATTAATAAGATATCACTTTTTGTGTGTCATTCGACAAGAAACTTTTGTCGATCGTCAAATTTATTTTAGCAACGTCATCATCATTTCACAAGATCATCGTCATTTCTCTGGAAGAAAGTAAGGTACGGCCCATAAGAAATGACGATACTTGCGAGTTATTGAGTCCCTCCGCGAGGCTTATTGCTCGACTTTTGTCTCAATTTCTATGCTTTCGGACCATATCACAGTATCAAAGTTTCGAAAATTATCATTTAAACAAGATTGGGCCACCGAAAACCTTCCGGGTCGATATTACTTGCAAGTCGTGTTCAGTATTCCACGGCCAAATGCTCGCTTTTTCCTAAACTTTCTCGGCAGTTCGTCTAGATAACAGCATCCTATGAGATCATTGCCATTTCTCCGGCAAAAAGTGAGGGTCAGCACATAAAGAACGTCGGTACCAGCGAGTCATCGAGTTCTCGCCCAACCGTTTGCCCGACTTTTGTCTTACTTTCTATAGGCTGTCGGACCAAATCACAGTATCTAAGTTTCGAAAACTATAATCATACGTTGGCATGAAGTATAAATCCGTTCATTGACTCTACTGAGCCAATTCTTAAAACACTAGTAGACCTTGTACGAACACCTCCTCTCTCTGGGCATAGAATAAGCAGTAAATATAACAGCACAGTATTCCTAAATTCTATAATTACATAAAATAAAAACAATATTTAATTTAATTAAATTCAAGTTGTGGTAGCATTTTTTGAAATAAAATATTATTTATATTTACAATTAGGAACCTTTATATTTTTCAAAAGATCTCTGAACTTCTTTTCTCTGATAGTTTCATTTAACAGTTTTACAATTTTTTCAGATAAATTGGGCCAAGCAGAAGCTATTTCATCTCCATTGCTGCTGAACAATATTTTATAATCTTTGAGAATCTAGAAGTAAAGTATAATTATAGGAATAAAAAATAACTTTTAATAAATAATAACTTATAATAACAAATTTGTTGATTTCCTTACCAATTTTCGTTCATTTGGGGGTGTCAAGAGGATATTTCATGAAAATTTCTTCCAGACTTTTGAAATCCACTATATCTGCCTGAATCAATTTCCTGGAATTTTCCCAATGACGTTCTACATTCTCCCATTCCCAAAATGAATATACAATTAAAAATTGTAACTAAAAGTATTTAAATACATATGCAATATTTATAAATTGATGTGATTACGATCGCGTTACGTCGTCACAGTTCTCTCGCCACCTCAGCCATACTAATGTGAAATGTACAATTTGAACTCATGTTTTTCCACGTAGCAGTAGCAGCGATACCGTGAGAGTTACTTTTAATTAATTTGAGACATATCCTATAAATATATTAAACTTATAACGTTCTGGATATAACGGTATTAATAAAATAAATATTACTATATTTTGCAAGTAGTTTTTAGTAAGCCTTTTTGCATCAACATCGTTAGAGTCAGATTCTTCAATGTCCAAACCGCAGTCAATGTCATAATCAAATTGATTATCATTTCTACTTTTTCGTTTTGTTAACTGCACGCGTGATGATGATTATACAATTGTCGTAGCTATATATACTCATAGAGTCAAATCGACCGTTAAAATTTGAAAATTTTCGCGGCGTTCCAAAGTCAATACAGTCACGCGTATACAAACGAATATGCAAGCTCGTTGCCTACAACAACACCACGTTCTATTATCAATATAGTTAGTTATTTTTTTATCAGAGATTGCAAATTAATATCAATATCAGTTGTGTTTAAAAATAAAAAAATGTATAATTGTAAAGAGTGTGTACATATTTCAAGTGATGTCGAAGAATTCATAGAACATCTAGAAAAAATCCACTGTTTCAAAGGTGGTAGCCATTACGCTTGTTCAGAAAATGGCTGTCTAAGATCGTTTCTGGATAAGTAAAAATTAAAAAAACATATGAAAACAGGTCATTCATTAAAAATTGTGGAAAAAAGTTAAGTGTTTAAGAAGGAAGATGAAATAGTTATTCGAATGAAGAAAAATTTTTACACGAAAAAAGTAATGATTCAAGATAAAATCGACGAAAATGTAGAACTCTTAGTAGCATCAGTAATCGATCAGAATGTTTCTCAAAGCTCCGTCCAAAATATGATTTTATCAGCAAAAAAATTTAATAAAAATCTTTTTGGGTATTTTAAAGAATTTTTTTTAAATATGTTTGAACAAAACATAGAAAATAGTAAGGAATTTGTCGATGATATGTTTGCTATTTTTTCGAATTCTTTGGTACCCGTAGACAGCGAATACAAGCGCATCGATTATTTTACATAAAATCAGTATTATGTTAGTCCTAAATCTTATAATATTTATACAGCAGAAATAGGTCATATGGAAAACGATACCTACATTATTGAAACGAAAAACGTAACGGGCCAATATGTGCCAATAGCGTCCACATTGAACATGATTTTCAATCAAACGGACATATTTTCGAACGTTTCTGCATTTATGGACCATTGAAAAAAAGCTAAAAATCAATGTAGCGACGGAGAGCATTTTATTCAAGCGGATTTATTTTCTCCGTATCTAGAGGACTATCCTAAAAAAATTACAATACCCATAAAAGTATATTTCGATGACCTGGAACTAATAGTCCTCTCGTTCACACAGGAGTTTATAAAGTTGAGAATATATATTTTAAGCTTCTATGCTTACCACCTGACTTGGCTTCCAAATTGGAAAACATTTTCCTAAGCATAGTTGTAAACTCCAATGATCGAAAAGATTTCGAGAATCCTGAAGCCTTGAAACCACTCATTGATGAATTGAAAATTCTGGATAAAAAGCCAATACTTTTGTTAAATGGAAAAAGAATTTATATGTTCGTGCATTTATTGTAACAGGCGATAATTTAGGGATGCATGAGCTGTTGGGATTTATGGAAGGTTTTTCGGCCAATTTGCCGTGTAGGATGTGTAAAATATCAAATTTAGAATTAAAGAATTGTTGCGTCGAAGATGAAATGCTATTACGAACAATCAGCTACGAAGAATATTTGAAAATTAATAACGCTAAGATGACTGGCATTAAAAGTCCTTGTATTTTCAATGAGCTCTCTTACTAGTGTGATGGGTCGTTTGCCACCATCTATTTATTATAAATAAAATATGCCAGCTGACTGAAAGCTAATGACTCGACTCTATGTCTCTTGGGTGGGGCGTGGTGGAGAAATGAATAACGCAAGGACTTGGATTCACACATACGAGACTGTTTATTTAACCTTAATCCTAGTTACATAAATGTTGCTTACTATGTACCGGTGTTCTTATCTTCGGCGGCGACGTTCGGTGCGGCGGCGGAAGGAGTCGGTGTGCTGTCTGTTGTAGGGCGGGCCCGTGACGGTCTGGCCTCGGCTGGTGCGGCGTCGGTGAGGGTAATCGGCGTCGGCGAGATCGGCGTTGAGGAGATCGGCGTCGACGAGGGCGTCCTCGATGTCGATGAGGGTGTTCTCGGTGTCGATGAAGCCGGCACGGTGTCAGCGTGCTGGGCAGCGTCGGTGGTTGCAGCTGGACGGGCTCGCGTACTTTTCGTATAACTAACTCGCACTGATTTTATCTGCGGAGCCGAGCAACAGGCTGGCTTTCAAGTAAACTGCGAACTTTGACTCGAGAAGTAAAGATGTACGTGAATACCGAACCGACGAGCGTCGATGTTTACGCCTCAAACCGAGAATGAACACTGAGCCTACGAGCGTCGATGTATACGCCTCGAACCGAAAACTACGAATGAGCCCCGAGACTCTCTGAGTCTCGGTTTATATACGGTTTGTTGCTGCCGTACCCTCTTTGTCTCAGCTAGGGTCACCGTGACTTTATGTGTCCTCTGGAGCTTGCGGGCTGCGCGTTTTTTCCCATCCGTCGAGTCTGGGATTTTTAGCGGATGCTTCAGCCGTCTCCTTAGTTTCTTTGCTCGCAAGTTGTGACCTGATTTTTGCCAACATCCGTTTTTTCTGCCCGAGCCGGTTACCCCATCGCATTCCTGAGGCATCATAAATTTCGACTTGTAGCTTGCAAGCGCGAGTTATGTTTCCTACAAGCGCTTGCTGCTCCATGC